CATTTGTCTGAAAGTAATATTATAGGTACATATATATTAAAAAAATCTACTCTAATTACTTATAGCTACTCTTATTATTTCGTATATAAATCTCATTATGAAAATAATTGTTGTATATTAAAGAATATAGCCATTTTAATTTACAATATTAATCTTCTTCCTGGCAATTGTCCCAGCTTTAGCCAGGGTCTGCCTTACATGTTGTGAATAGTTTTGGCTAATTGTTTTTACGACCGGACGCCTGCCTGACATCAACTCTCTTTGGGAATGCATTAATCAGTGATGTCTAAATATTCTTATAAAGTACATATGACTCGGAACATCACATTGCTACTTGCCAGGATCGAACCCGCGCCCTCATGCATGAGAGGCGGGCCTTTAACCACTAGGCCACCACTGACTTATCATATATCTTTCAACTACTATTTGAAAGTTTTACTTAAATTAACTAAGACAATAAAAAAAACCATTGATAATCGTAATTTTAAATTCTGAAAGTCCTAAAATAATTTATTACAAAAGAAATATCTTTTTATTGAAGCTTACATTTTTCTTATCTTCCTCGACTTACACTTTGTATTTTCCATTTTTTTTATTTACAAGAATTTATTTATTTTCACTTTATCGAAAAGTATTTTGGATTTTTTTGACAAATATCTGTCTTTGTTTTGTTTTTTATTAAAAGAATAATGTGATCTATACATCCAGATCTTTTGTAGACAATTTTTTATAAATATCCATAGTCTGTTATTTACTTAGTCGTTACTCTTATCAATAGTTTAGAAAATAAAATACTACTAGGCGTAGTTTACATATATGTATGTTATGTAAAAAACTCTAAAAAACAAATTAATAAATCCTAAATTAACATAATAGCTCAAATTAATCTAAACTCTAAGATTTTTATCATTACATATAAATATAGAAGTAGCAATACCTACTGTTTCACTCGTAAAATTTCATTTACTTTTCACTTGATCTAATTGTTGTAAGATAATAATCAATTTCAGATAAAATTATCAATTATAAAATATTAAGATTTTAGATTATTAAACAAATGCAATTTAATTCATACTTATTTAAATGTAAAATTATCTCTATACTTTAATATATAGATTATATGTAATAATTATAATAACCTTAATTAATTCTATCTTTATTAATAATACATTTATTTTAATATATGAATACAAATTACTCATGCTATACTGCGTGCAAAGGATACAATCTAAGGTAAATTCATGATTTCTTGGAAAAACATCAAGTATAACACGACTAAAATTAATAGTCCATGCTCGTGTACAAAAATCAATTTATTATGAAACAGATTTAAATTTCGTCGTGTTATACTGAGTTTATTTTTAATATGAAAGCAAATGATTGAAAGATTCATTGAAATTTGGTTAGTAATCGAAATTATTTTATCTTGATCCAAATAATTTTTAATTTTATAGGGCTATACACGAACCCAGTGTTGCCATTTAATATGACTTTCCCTGATTCTAGGCATTTTTATCTTTTGTAGGACAAATTTGGATCAATAGTAATACTGTTAAATTTATATGATTACAGCACTTATTGTTGAAATTACTTATAATTTATTTAGTGGAAAATGTGGCTTAGTAACTGTTAACATCTTTTCATGAGAAAGAAATTACTACGGTAATAATTTTTTATAGAAATTTAATTTCCAAATGGATTGATCAGACAAGTCTTATAAAGTTATAACATATTAAAACTTTGAACTATTAGTAATATAGTTGTAGACAAATAGTAGCTTTACCATATTCAAGAAGGGAAAATCTCAAAAATAATAAACATTCTATTGGAGCAAGAAAACCTCCAAGAGGCGGGCTTCGGCTTTGAGTGTCACTTTATATACCAAATGGCTGTTATATTGATTTACATGTGTCTTAAATCCTGCTTTTACTTAATACTATAAGTCTTAAAGTTTACAGTGAGACAAACGTCCTTACTTCTACTAAGTTATTATATCTAATAAAGACATTTAGATATTTTCGAATTGTGACAAGGAATTTATAAAAAATAAATTAAAATTATGCATAATTTTTTTTTAATCAACTATAATATTCTCTTAATATTTTGATATAATTTGTAATTGTTGTTTTTTTATTAATTTTAATATAAAGTGATGTAACAGTTTCGGGTAAACGGAACGTCAACCTGTTGTAACATCAAATATCAATGTCAAAGTAAGAAGTGAGAACTTCGTTGTATTAACTTTTATCTTAGATATCATTTTATTTCTTTATCTCGTGATATATTCCTTAAAAAATATCTTCAAAAATTATTTTTTTTATTCAAGATATGTAATGTGATCAAAATACTTCTCAGCATAAAGGTAAATAGCAAGGAGGTTTGTTTATTCGTTTATATTAATATTCTGCGCATGTGTTGTATCGGTGTGTGTGTGTGTGTGCGTGAGGTGATTTCTTGGAAAAAGCTGGTATGAATTCTGTTCAATACATTTACTGGCGAGGTCTTTTATGCCCTGGGCAGGCCAGGTAACTACGTCCTAGGCTAAGGTAAGCCAAATAACATTATGATTATAATAAATCAACATATATAAGTAATGAGTGTTTATCTAAATGTTTTTCTTGTGACGAACGTGTACAATTTTAGATGAAAAACATCGCTTTTTATATCGTATAGGATATAATTTAGGTTTATAAGATACAGATATTTCCACTGTTTTGTCGTATTTTATGAGTTTTTACGATTTTATATAGAAGAACCTGTTGTTTGTTTGTATTGAGTAAACATTGTCGACTCTTGATGGTTTAAGCCATCACCAATTGTGTTTTAACACAAACAGCATTTGTCTCTGAGTCTTTTGTAAAATGATATTACCTTATTCATTTTTTTCACACAAAATTCATTTTTAGAATCCATTTTTTGATATTGAAATATTTTTTTCACTTATATACTGGTATTGGTTAATAGAATTCAGTATTTTATTAAAAAATATATTCCGACATTTTCATTAATATTGTCGCTTTTGTAATTTACATAAAATATAATGTAATTTCCTATAAATGTAGTAATAAGACAAAAATTTATCTTTCTAATTTAATTGGGAGATTTTCAAATTTAATCTTATTGATAATTAAATATGCTTCTGATTATAATTAAGTTATATGTCTAAATGGATGCATCAGAAATACTTTGGTAACCATTAATATATAAAATATATAGCATTTGATACATAAAAAATTAATAAGGTACACATAGAGGTGTCTAAACTATGCTTATTAACATATATGCTAATTATTATATGTACATATTATAAAATATTGCTTGCATGTACACCATCTCTACTAATATTATAAATGCGAAAGTAACTCTGTCTGTCTGGCTGTTACACTTTCACACCTAAACCACAGAACTGATTTTAATAAAATTTGGTACAGAGATAGAGTTGACCTTGAGAAAGAACATAGGATAGTTTTTATCCCAGACTTTTGAAAGGTTCTCTTGGAAACAAGATATAAACGAACTCGACGCGGGTGAAGCTGCAGGCGGAAAGCTAGTGTTGTATAATTGCTTAAGACTCTCGTGTATGTTAAAATTAATTTCTACAGAAAGAACTAAAAATACAATTAAATAGTGTACATAGTAGCTTTATGTTGAGGCAGACCCTGGCTAAAGCTGGGAGGTTGCCAGGAAGAAGAAGAAGTTACCTTTATGTTGTATAACTATCTCTGCTCACAACTTAATCTGTATATAGTAGTGAAGAAGATTTTAATAGATATGCATAATCTTGCTTGATCTATAACATCAGCTATCTGCCGCTGAAAGTTGTATCAAAATCAGTCATGCTATTATTTGTATCAAACTGAAGAAATAGCAAACAATTGTATATATGTAAGTCAGTGGTGGCCTAGTAGTTAAAGGCTTGCCTCTCGTTGCCGAGGGCGCGGGTTCATACCTGGCAAGTACCAATGTGATTTTTCCGAATCATATGTACTTTATAAGAGTATTTAGACATCACTGACATATGGTGAAAGAAAAGATCGTGAGGAAACATGGACTGATAATTTCACAATTATAAGTTTGAAATCACCAACCCGTCTTGAGCAGTCGTGATTAATGCTCAAACCTTCTCCATGTGAGAAGATGCTCAGCAGTGGGCTCTGATAGGCCGATGACAATTCAGCATCAAATACAGAGACTAAAAGAAACAACTGTTATTGCAAACTTAATTATGAAAACAATCCAATTTGAGAATTCTTTGAGAGTAATAATTAAATTTATTGATTACATATCAGTTTCTAAAGAAGAAAATCCTAAATAGATTTACCATGATCACGAAGTCCACACAGACGAAGTCACAAACAAACATTAGTATTATTTTAATTAAATGTATATTATTGAATATATTTTAAATATATATATTTTTTTTCAGATCGACATTTGAGGAAACATTTGTTCTTATATAAAAGTAAGTTATATTTTATTGAATCTTAAAATAGGGTTCTGTGTTTGTTATAATTACCATATCTCAAAACCAATGTTTATAATCTTCTAGTAATATATAAAAGAAAGTCGTGCTAGTTACACTATTTATAACTCAAACGATTGTACGGATATGGATGAAGTTTGTGGAGAGATAGATTAGAACATAGAAAGGACATAGGATATTTAATACCGTTCGATCGAAACAGAAAATACGCAATAAATTCCAATACTTGGTTATTTATGTCCTCTAGGTCGGAATATAGTTCGCCCGGTCAGCTATACATATATTACTAATGAAGAAATTAACGCGGACGAAGTCGCGGGCAAAAAAATAGTTATAGATATAAATTTTGCGCCTATTAGAAATAAAATCAAGGTTTCTGGAATAGGAGTATTAAAACGATTTTGATGAAATTTCTCATAATTAATAGTATTGTAAATAGTATTTTCTTCATGATGCATCAAAGGTAATATGTAATAATGTTTATATATAGTTAATTTTTATGATTTTTAGGTAAAAGATGTCACTGTGGGCACGAGCTCAGCAACTGCCGCAAGAGAGTCTCCAGAAGGTAATTCTTTTGTGAAATTTTCATCAAAATCAATCCAGCCATTTGTTTTTTTCTAATATTTGTATTAAAATTTTCTCCATGTGAAATGGTTTACCTAAAAGTAATAACAATATCAAAATCAGTAAGGCCAAATTAATGTTTTACACTATAATGAAAATTATCATTTTAATTCCTAATTTTTTATAACATTAATTAAAAAGTGAAGGTAAATATTGGAAATGAGCTAAACTAAATATTAAGTGTTTTTCATATATTTCTATTAATTTTAATTTTCTAACAGCATTCACATATAAGTAAATTGATTCATACACAAATATATAATAATGTATTTGTTAATTTTGCAATCTATAAATAGGATTTTAGTTCAAAAAGTTAAACAAAATTGCTGACTTGTTGCTTGAAGAATTTTGTACGAGTCAATTTTGAAGTATATAATAATAGTACATAGAGAATAAGGCTTTATATACGTATTATATAAGTTAATCCTATGTAATATATAGCCTTATATATAGATCTAGAAATGAAAATACATAATAATTTTTAAACAAACGTTTTGCCAGCCAATGGTCTACTTATTATTATTCAAGACTAATTAATTCAGAGTTTCTTCTCTTGAAAATAGTTGAGAATATGTGGCTTGGGTGTTGATAGTTTAATAAATGATTATCATTTAACAATACATATAAATACAATTATATTTAATAATTTTTGGTACAAATTTCCCATTAAATGTCTTTGTACAGGTGAGGGCAATATATGTTGACCACTTCCCAATAGAAGTGCGCCATTGTCTGGCTACATGGATAGAAAATAGAATATGGTAAGTGCTAACAGTGGCATTGATGGCATTTATGGCCTTTATGGTGGCATTACATACATGTAATCTATCATGGCATACTTTAGTATGATGGTATTCTATTTTTTTTACAATAAATCATGTTTTTTCTTGAATCTTTGATATTTTTCATATTTAATTAATTTTTCATTACATTTAAGTTATATGAAGTTGGATTATATCAGTTTTAATTCAAATAAATAAAAAAAATACATTTAGCACTAAATAATGCAACATTTTACATACTGATATCTTTATATATATAAAAATTTCATGTCACGAGTTTGTCCGCTATGGACTCCTAAACTACTAAACCGATTTTAATTTTGATTTGCATGCCATGTGCATTTTGATCCAGCTTGAAAGATAAGATAGCTTACATCTCAATTCTAGTTCCTCTAGTCTTCTAGTTGTTATAATATTTTTCAGGAAATAAATTTGTTAAATGAAATCTTGTTTGTATGTATGTATGTCTAACACCAAGCCGTTCCCCTAGGACCCAAGAACCAGAAGAACAGCAGCGTTTCTTCGTTGAGGAGCTGGTACAGGAGATCCACACTCACGCGGAATTAATGGTCTCTCCTGAGATGTTCGTCACCAAGATGAAGCTGATAGAAGCAGCCAAGCAGTTCCGTATGCATTACAGGTATATATGATCGGATGTACCGGTTTTGATGTAACTTTTCATGTTTGATAAGGTTAAATAGAGAACTAGGTACTTGAATTCTTTTTTGGTAAATAGAGTCTAGGTATTTCAGTGGTAGACTTGTGTCTTTACTCAATTTCTTTATCTGTAATTTTATTTTCTTCTATAATAGAATTAGGGATCAAGAATCCTTCAAATTATATATATTTTCTTAGAATTGTATCTATCTTTCCATAATATTAATTCAGCTATTACTATATCAGTCATAATATTAGACAATTTCTGCTTAATTTGCATTTTTTGGATTAAACTTAACATTACAATAATTTTTGCTTGTTAATGTCGAGGCCCCCTTTTAACTCGGTGTAGGGGGCCATCGGGGCCCCTAAAAGAAAATCTTCGAAATAAGTTGCTATTATATTGTATGTATTACAGCCACGCTCCCCACGAGCTATACACTTTCATGCGGCGTTGCTTGGCCCTTGAAATGGAAGTTATACAGACGGCGATGGGTACTCCATACATACAACCGCAGACTGAGAGGAAATACAGTGAGGTATGTGATTATTTTTATGTTATTTGTTTCCATTTTGGTTAAATTTTTTCAAAGTCTCTGTGAAATTAGGAGATTTCTTTTTTAATACTTATTTGTTAGCAAAATTCTTCTCAAAATCGTTCCAGTCGTACCTAAGATGATGAATGATAGAGATAGTGTATATTTTTTTTCAATCGACTGTAATCTCTGTAACTACCATATACGTATGTATGTTTCTTTTGATTTACTTAATATATTGTAGTCTATACGTTTCTTATTATAAAAGTATCTTAAATTTATTCTCATCACGTCAACTAATCTATAACATGAAATACGTGTCAGGTTTTACATAATTTCGTCAAAATTATAACGGTTCCGTTATTTTGTTTTCCAAGAAAATCTATTTCATATTTCGTTCAAAATACTTAAAATTGATAAATTGTAACGATCGCTTAGTTGGCGATTGACTGAAAAGTATACTGCGACAACAGGTTCGAATCCCGGGATTGATAACGAGCAAGATATCCAGTCTATATGCAAACAAAGTTTTATAAAAATCGGTTCAGTATTTAATAGATTCTGACAGACATACATACAAGGTAATTACAGTATTAGAGGAACTTTTACATGAGAAATTATCCTAAAAAAATCGAAGAAAGGTCTCTCTTTGTGTTAACTAGATTGTCAAGCAACGAACAGTTTTTCCTAATTTTTATAACATTAATATAATTTTATAATATAGATCATATAATGTGTAACATAATAAAATTATAAATAATTTATATCTCCTCTTCTACCTATCAATTCCCCAGCTTTAGCCAGGGTCTGTCTTACATGTTGTGAATAGTTTTGGCTAATTGTTTTTACGACCGGCCGCCTGCCTGACATCCTCTTTTGAGAATGAATTAATCAGTGATGTCTAAATAAATAAAAAAATATAGAGGTGTCAAGGGACACCCGGATGGAACGAAGTTCCTTTTGATTAATTAGTGTAGGAATTGTAATAAAATTTTATTTTTTTTAACAAATATAATGTTATATAAACTTAATCAGTATTATTTTATTATTTACAAAAAACCTGTATACACTCAACAAAAATAATCACTAATCACACTGTTCAATACGAAATAGAAATGAAAATATTTGGCTTGCTTTCTATAAGAGACAGACAGACAGAGAAAAATGCGATGCAGCACAGCTTACAATAATTACTAAAGCAAAAAGTGTCGTGAAAACTTTTCGTGAGAATTTTTTCAATCTAGCCGCCTTTAACAATGCGCGATAAGGAACTTCGTTCCAATAAATTTATATATCAACTAGAAGACCCGGCGAACTTCGTATCGCCCTATAATAATCAAGAAATATCTGTTACGTTTTTTATTTATATTTTTGGAGTTTACCTATTAAAGCCATAAATCTCCGTGTTTTGAAGTGCGACAGAATAATTGACATATTAAGTATGTAGTTAGTTGTCAAATCTAATATCAAAAAAAAAGTTTGTATCAACAACTTCTTATAAATTAAAAATTAATTAAAAAAACATTGTCCAGCGTACATTGTGAATCTAAACCATTCCCAGATCCCCTTGAACACACACAAAAAATTTCATCAAAATCGGGCCAGTCGTTTGAGAGAAATTCAGTGACATACACACTCACAGAAGAATTATATATATAAAGGTTTACATATTTTTTTCCAGTTGATAACCGGCCTTCAAACGGTCCGTCAGAAGGTTAACATGGCTTCAGAGGAGATAAGGAGTCTTCAAGCCAACATAGAGTCATTCTCGCTACAATACCACGAGTGTCTCAAGAACAAGGGTAAGAACAAGACATTATTTAATACTAGCTGCGCTCCGCATCGTCACCCGCGGATTTCCGGGATGTAAAGTAGCCTATGTGCTATTCCTGGACGTCAGCTTCCTGTATACAAAATTTTACCAAAATCGGTTCAGCCGTTTGAGCGTGAATAAGTAACAAACATGCACACACTCACAAACTTTCGCAATTATAATATTAGTAGGATGTGATAGGTGGCAAACGAACAGACGGCCTACTTGATAGGCAGTAGTGACCGACGCCCATGGACATACGCAATATAGATGTTGTATATGCGTTGTCAACATTGTCTGTTGAGGAAAAGGGAGGGGTGGGAATAAGGAAATAGCAGGAAAAGGAGGGAATAGGGAAAAGGCAACCGTCTCTCTCACTCTTCGTACGAAACGCAGCCATTAAAGACTACTTCACGCCGATCTTCTGTGAGAGGGTGGTACTTCCCTGATCGAGCCAGCACATGTTCGAGCTGTAGTAACTTGACCACAGATAGGCTCAACCACCTATTAAATATATTTGGTGGTACGCCAGAAATATAAGAAATCGATGATAAATAACAAGACCGACTGACAGACATTAACATCTTGTTTTTACAAAAATAAAACATGTATGGTCAAGTTACTACAGCTCGAACATGTTCTGTCTCGACCGTAAGTACCACCCTCTCACAGAAGATCGGCGTGAAGTAGACTTTAATGGCTGTGTTTTGTATGATGAGTGAGAGAGACGGTTGATCTATCTCTTTATCACCCTTTCCTATTCCCTTTCCCACAATCAAATTCACAAAGAATCTACAACATCTCTTATATAGTATATGTATATGAAAATTTTTAATTATCAATCCTTTAATCAATAAATATGCATAATACATGCTGAAATCTATACTAATGGATAGAAAAATTAAATATTATTATTCCACAGGCCATATTAACTATTTACAACAGAGTGGTCCCATGACTAACGATCGTCGCGAACTAGAGGCATGTCTCAGAGTACAGATAGAAGATATGGAGAGGAAACTTAACGCATTGGTAAGTATATATAATATATGTATACAGGGTGACTGGTGAATTACTATCAATATTTAAGGAGAATACTCGGTACATGATTCTCATTCGAATTATGTAAAAAAAATAGGTACTTAATTTTTGACAAAATTTCCGTATAAATAAGTAAAGTGTTGACACGTTCCAAGTGTTCCTAGTGTGGACGCGTGCGGCGGCGTAGTGTTGTATCAGCACGCGTGTGTGAGTGTGTGTGTATACCTAATCTGTAGGGTGTTCACACGATGCGTAATTAATTACATAACTTTTGGTTAACTTTACTTAGAAGTTTATTAATATTTATGTTTTATTAATTTTTATTTTGTCATATATGATCGTCAAATATCACGTCCTCAAATATCGATAGTAATTCACCAGTCACCCTGTATATAGCTTTCCGCCCGCAGCTTCGCCCGCGTGGAGTTCGGTTATATCGCGTTTCCAAGAGAACCTTTCAAAAGTCTGGGATAAAAACTATCCTGTTCTTTTTCAAGGTCAACTCTATGTCTGTACCAAATTTCATTAAAATCAGTTCTGTGGTTTAGCCGTGAAAGCGTTACAGATAGACAGTATGACAGAGTTACTTTCGCATTTATAATATTATAGTAGGGATATAGTATATACTTTGTTTCCTGGATTGGCGTCCAGAATTACTATTCTATGTCCCAGTCATGGTTTTCATTGTTTTTGTAGGTAGCTTGATCAGGGATAGACTCTATTAAAGTTGACAAAACATGTAGAATATAAAAAGAATTACAAAAAAAATATGTTTTTATACATATATGTAATTTAAATACCAAACTTGATGTTATATTTCGTTCATAGTTTAAGTAATTTCAGTGTTATCTTCTATAATTATGGACATTTAGATATGAATTAATTATAATCTATGTACATTTTTACCCAGATATTACAGACTACATACATACACACACACACACATATATATTGTATTAATATAAATAATATTTGATCAAGGTGGCTCAAATCAATCAGTCTCAAATGGAATTAGTTGACCACATGAAGGAAAACATCACCAACTTGAGGCAGTTACAAAGTCAAGTACTGGATGAAGAATTAATCAAGTGAGTATTCATTTAATTTTGTATACATTTATTTCTTCTATATTGCATCACATTTAACTTATTTAAGTACTACAATAAATTTCAAAATTAATTACTCTTTAAGACATAAACTCAAAACAGGACTAACTTTCATCAAAATCAGTTCATTGCTCAATATTTCCTAATTTTTTCTACCTCTAAACTAGAACAACTTTATCTATATATATAAAAATGAATCGCTGTTCCTTAGTCTCATTAAAACTCGAGAACGGCTAAACGGATTTATCTTATCTTAGTCTTGAAATGTTTGTGGAGGTTCAGGGAAGGTTTAAAAGCTGAAAAAAATTGAATAATTTCCGGGAAAACCCTAAAAACAGAGGTTTTCTATTTCCCATACAAACGTTTTTTTTTGACATTAGATTTGACAACTAACTAATATGTCAATCATTCTGCCGCACTTCTGAACACGGAGATCTATGAAATAGGTAAACTCCAAAAACATAAATAAAAAAATATTTATTTATTTATTGAGGCAGTACGAGGTCTGCCGGGTCAGCTAGTAATCAATAAAATACTGGAAAATATATAATAATATACCTAAAAATACAATTTACCAGGTGGAAACGTGAACAACAATTATCTGGAAATGGTGTACCGATGCAATCCAATCTGAATAGTATTCAAGAATGGTGTGAACTATTGGCTGAATTAATATGGAGTACAAGACAGCAAGTGTGCAACGTGGGACGAATCAATAGCAAGACTATCGTGGAACTGAGACAACCACACCTGGCTGAGATGTTGGATGACATGAGCAAGCAGGTACGGGTTGAAATACTAGTGTAGTCACTAATTTAGTTGGTTTCTCATGTATATAAATGAATATAAGTAAGTATGGGTGGTTATACATACTACTTTAAAATCATTAGTTTGACAGATTTGTCATATATATATGATTTTTTAATATATTTGTTTGTTTTGTTTATCTCAAACACATTATAATTGTATAGACATTAACATAATCTGATCACAATGCATAAAGGTAAAAGGTATTTATGTAAATAAAATCTACTGTCCCTGAGCTAGGTATAAACCTGTATATAAGACACCACTGAACACATAGTGCTTATATAGATAGTTGTATCTTAAATGAAAATGTCAATATATATTATTATATATATATATATATATATATTTATATATATATATATTTTTTCAGGTGACAAGTCTCCTCTCTACACTGGTGACTTCAACATTTGTTATTGAGAAACAGCCACCGCAAGTGATGAAGACGAACACACGGTTAGTATAACACATACTACAACAACAGACTTTGTCTGTAATATGTGTAGGGAATGCAATCACGGCCCCTATTTTCAATCATAGAATTACGGAATTGGACAAAGACAATCCCGGGAATTTGGGATAGCCCTGAGATAACGAATATTTATTAAACAAGACAAAAAATCTTCTTTTATTTAAACAACAACATTTAAACAGTCTTTCCTCAACTTCTGTGTCAATGTGGAAAAAAAACGAAAATTAACTTTTAAAACATTAATTTATTAAATTAAACAACTTCAATTTGAAATCATCTTTAAAACTAACAAATTAAATACTTGTTAGACAACATTTAGGAACTTCAGGTTACTATAAAATAAAACAATAATTAACATTTCAATGTTCACAAACAAAAAACAAAATAGTCTTCTAAAATATTTACCAAAATGACTATGACTTGAAATTATCTTAAACATAAAACTTTACTAAGGAAACAACTTTGAGTTGAGATCTAGTTATTACGAAATTAAAACCTTAAAAACATCAATGCATCTAAAGTTTCGACTCCAAGCCGTGTTCTCAATTTATTACATACTAGTTTTCCTCCCGCAGCTTCGCCCGCGTCGAGTTCAGCTATATCGCGTTTCCAAGAGAGTCACCTTTCAAAAGTCTGCGATAAAACTATCCTATGTTCTTTCTCAAGGTCAACTCTATCTCTGTACCATATTTCATTAAAATCAGTTCAGTGGTTTAGGCGTGAAAGTGTAACAGACAGACAGAATTACTATCGCATTTATAATATTCTAGTAGGGATAAATTCTGCAGCTGAAATGCTCTTTCAGTTACATTGACCATAACATTGCGTTTACAAAGAAAGTTACGATGAGTAATTTCTAAAAACACTTACAGTTATTAACTTTTATCATTTTCGTTAATCCCGAAAATCCCGGGATTGGACAAATCTAATCCCGGGATTCCCAGGACTGGAATAAGGCCGGGATTGCATTCCTTAGGTATGTGGTACCAGTAAAGCAATTAAAAAATTATATAACAGTAAATTAATATATATCAAAATTTGTTAAGCAGAAAACTATTCAGACAAATCTCATACGTAAATAAAAATACTCTGTCATATATATATATATATATATATATATATATATATATATATATATATATATATTTATTTATTTATTTAAGGACCACTAGTAGCTACTACATGTTTAAATGCCAAATGTAAAACCATTAATATATATAATAATTTTGTTACAGTTTCACAGCCACAGTCCGTCTGTTAGTCGGTGGCCAACTGAACGTGCACATGACACCGCCTCGCGTCACGGTGGGCTATGATCTAATATCACTAATATTACTCTCATTAATAATATCTATATTAAAAGTCTCTAATTTTAAGGGAAATGCTGATATAATTAGTACATCACAGATGGCGCCATAAGTCAGTAATAATTATTTATAATGATTGAAATATTTGTCTACTTCACAATTCTAAGCTTCACGTTATTTATATTCTAATATTTATTAGGAATTCTTATGACAGTCAATTAGCGCCATCTATATATTTGTTATAAAAATATTTCTGTATAGTAATTTCAATGTCCAAATACACTTAACAATTGGTTTTACAAATTATAATTGGAGCCTTAGCATGTTTTACACAATGTTAAGTGTTTTATTATGTAATGAAAGCTCTTATGAGGGGAACTAGCGCCTAATATTATAACCTACCCTTAACTAAATGTTACTTTTGAATATTATAAATACGATACAAGTGTTAGACTAGGGATTCTGTTACGAGTTATGGAGCTATAAACATATTCTTTCTTCCCAAAGAGGGTTGATGTCAGGCAGGCGGCCGGTCGTAAAAACAATTAGCCAAAACTATTCACATGTAAGGCAGACCCTGGCTATAGCTGGGAAATTGGCAGGTAGAAGGAAACATGAGTGGAAGTACTAATAATATGTAATTTTCTTATAGGTGGTGATAATATCGGAGCAGCAAGCCCAGTTGTTGTTGAAGAGTGACGTGTCGGGAGGACGAGGCAAGCAGCCCCAGGAGTGTGGAGACATACTGAACAATAGTGGCTGTATGGAGTACCAGCCGACTTGTAGACAACTCAGCGTGAGCTTCCGGTGAGAGATATATATATACTAGCTCTCCGCCCGCAGCTTCGCCCGCGTGGAGTTCGGTTATATCGCGTTCCCAAGAGAACCTTTCAAAAGTCTGGGATAAAAATTATCCTATGTTCTTTCTCAAGAGAACCTTTCAAAAGTCGGGTATAAAAACTATCCTATGTTCTTTCTTAACGTCAACTCTATGTCTGTACCTAATTTCATGAAAATCAGTTCAGTGGTTTAGGCGTGAAAGCGTAACAGACAGACAGAGTTACTTTCGCATTTATAATATTAGTAGGGATTGTGAAAAAAATTCCTTAAAAGTCGTTAATATATAAAATATTTCAGCTCAAACTTTCTTCTGATAATCTGCTTCCAATGTAGATATGTGGATTTTTCTAATGATAGTTACGAGGATTTGCTCTATCACCGACTATATAATATACAGGGTGACTGGTGAATTACTATCGATATTTGAGGACGTGATATTTGACGATCATATATGACAAAATAAAAATTAATATAGCATAAATATTAATAAACTTCTAAGTAAAGTTAACCAAAAGTTATGTAATTAATTACGCATCGTATGAACACCCTACAGATTAGGTATACACACACACTCACACAGACGCGGCGGCGGCGTAGTGTTGTATCAGCACGCCGCCGCACGCCTCCACACTTGGAACACTTGGAACGTGTCAACACTTTATTTATTTATACGGAAATTTGGTCAAAAATTAAGTACCTATTTTTTTTACATAATTCGAATGAGAATCATGTACCGAGTATGCTCCTTAAATATTGATAGTTATTCACCAGTCACCCTGTATATAGGTCGTGTTTCCCCCGTGGCAGGAAGTCTTTACAAGATTCTCCTCGTTAAAAAATATATATATATAGGTCACTAGACTATCCAATTTAATAATTTCTATACATACATACAAATTACGTAACAATTAAAATTAAAGAAAAAATCGATAACATCTTTTCTGTCCTATTATTATTGACATATAAATTATAGGTAAGGTAATTATGTAGGGTGACAACTAAACGTTCAAGGAAAACTACGAAACTTATATATGTATATTATAATAAGTACTACATATTAAAACTTATAACCTACACCTAAGACTACATGATTGACCCGATGTTAGGATAGCAATAATATTCCATAGCTTGTGTGTATCAGGAATCTTCTGGTTCACACGCTTGGTGTTCGTTCCGCGGAGTCAGCGGCGTCAAGAGTTATATATTATACATACAACGATGTTACCCCGGCGATGTTCATTTATTTCTTCATATGTAACACGTGAGAAACTTACAAAGGAATTGTTTGTTTTTTTGAACCGACTACTAAAATGCAAGCCATTGTGTAAACTGAGCTATAATGTCCTATATGTTTTGTTACAGTAATATGCAGTTACGCAAGATTAAACGAGCAGAGAAGAAAGGTACAGAGAGTGTAATGGATGAGAAATTGACGCTGCTGTTTCAGTCGGAGTTCAACGTTGGTGGAGGGGAGCTGGTTTTCCAGGTATTATACCAGGAATTCCAGACTGGAATTTCCAGGAATTGGAATGGAATCAGTTATATAGTACATAGAAGCTGCCAGTCAAAGAAATTGTGATATATGTGGCTTAATACAGAATTAGAAGTGAAAAACTTGTTTATCAAATATAATCAGAATAATATAATAATCACTTATATAACTGCAGTAGGTATTTCTAACATAATCCAAGAAATCTTATTGAAAGTTGTTTAAAATTAATTTTATATGATAATAAATTATGATTTCGACGGTCGATGGATGCAATGAAACCAAAATTGTTTGACTTAATTCAATTATAAAGTAAATTATAACAAGGGTTCGACTATGTTGCACAAAGGTTGAACAAACAGTGACAATATTGTATTTAAATTCATAAAAGAAATATTAACCTAAAAACTGTCTTCACACGGAACTGCTGAGTCGGACCCGTGTAGAATAGACGAGTTTACCAGAAGCTAAGGCGTCCTCTGATTACACCGTATAAAGATAATTATATTTTAATTAAACGACCACTTATGACACCGTTACCGTTACATAAAAAATATGAAATTATGTTGTTGTCTTCACTATATATAGGGTTAGGTTATAGATATATATAAATGTGTGTGTGTGTCTGCGTGTGTGTGTGTGTGTGTGTAACATGTATGACTCTTATCACTCACCTCCATAGGTTGACTGGAAGAAATCTCTTTTAGAGATAAGTCCGCCTTTGTTCATGTATTATCTATCGTGTTATTTTCTGTAATGTCTTGTTTTAGTGCAATAAAGGATATATATAATGTATACTATCTATATATATATATATATATATATAGTATCCTATATATATATACATATATAACCATAACATATATATATGTTATGGTTCCAGGTGTGGACTCTATCTCTGCCAGTGGTAGTGATTGTGCACGGCAACCAGGAGCCCCACGGCTGGGCCACAGTAACCTGGGACAACGCATTCAGCCCGCCGGGGAGAGTGCCCTTCGCTGTACCTGATAAGGTACACCATCCCTACTAATATTATAATTGCGAAAGTAACTCTGTCTGTCTGTCTGTCTGTCTGTCTGTCTGTTACGCTTTCACGCCTAAACCACTGAACTGATTTTAATGAAATTTGGTACAGAGATTGAGTTGATCTTGAGAAAGAACATAGGATAGTTTTTATCCCAGACTTTTGAAAGGTTCTCTTGGGAACGCGATATAACGGGACTCCACGCGGGCGAAGCTGCGGCCGGAAAGCTAGTATATATATAGTAGTTTCTGAACGTGACTTCGTCTGCGTTAGTTTCATAATTAGAAATGTATAGCTGACCGGGCGAACTCTGTTGTGTTAAATACAGTACATAAGAAGATTTTGCATTTTATCAATCTTTTTTCATTTAAAGTATCCTATGTCCCTTCTATGTTCTAATCTATCTCTCCACCAATGTTCATCGAAACCCGTACAGTCGTTAGATTTATAAATAGTGTAACTAACACGACTTATATAATATCTTTATATACATTAATATTATTTGAATTCTATTATATTATTCAGGTGACTTGGGGTCAATTGGCTGAGACGCTTCGCATCAAATTCTGTTCAGCCACAGGCGGTGATTTATCCGAGGATAATCTGAGATTCCTCGCTGAAAAGATATTCAGGTAGTTAAAATTCTAACCAAACATATTATACCATCATCATAACTAAGCCATATAAATCATGCAAAAATCATTAAATTAAATTTCACTGTCATATATAACTAGTCTAGACCAATAGTTTTAAATAGTCTGGCATTTGGCTTAAATTAACTAACAAATATGATAACCTCATTGTCATATTAATCCAGTCTAGACCGATATTTTAATAGTCTCAAATAGATTGAATAATAAATATAATTATCAATTGTCATCATCGCATAAATCTAGACTGATCCTAGTCTATAACTATCGATTGTCACCCTCACAAGTCTAGACTGACCCTAGTCTAGACTGAACTCTAACTAATATAATTAACTATACAGTTCGCACGTCGACAGAACGAGTCTGCCACTTACTGCCCTCGAGTTGAACAACATGAGCGTCAGTTGGACACAGTTCTGTAAAGACGCGCTGCCTGATAGAAACTTTACCTTCTGGGAATGGTTCTACATGGTTGTGAAGGTCACCAGGGATTATCTGAGGACGCTGTGGTGTGACCGGTGAGTGAGACTAGTCTAGACCGGAGTCTAGACTATAATAGACTAAAGGCACCAGACCAAAAATACGATATAAAAGGCTAGGAAGTAGACAACAGTATACTTTACTAGAGAGTAGACTAGATTAGAGACTAGACTAGACTGGAGTCTAGACTAGAGAATTAATTAGATTAGGCAGTTAATTTGATTAGCTTCAGACTCGCCTTGAGACTAAACTAGACACTATACTACAGAGACTAGAGAGAGCGACATAGAGTTAGTTATGATATGTAAGATTTTCGCGTTTAGTAAATTAAATGAAATTATTTTTTTCGTATAGTACGATTTGATTTGGAAAATTAGTTATAGTATAAGTGTTTTCAATATTATATACTTTTAATGATGAATATTATGTTATAAATTGTTTAATCCATCCAGATTGATCATGGGTTTCATCCAGAAGAAGCAAGCCGAGGAGATGTTGTCCAAGTGTCCTCCGGGAACATTCCTGTTGAGATTCAGTGACTCGGAGCTGGGAGGTATCACCATAGCTTGGACTGGAGGTAAGAAAGCGATAAATATATGTGTATATATGTGTGTGTATGTGTGTCAAAAACTTTTGACTGTATTTAGTACTAGCTGCTCCCCGCAATATTACCCTCGGATTGCCGGGATGTAAAGTAGCCTATGTGTTATTTCTAGACGTCAGCTTCCTGTATACAAAATTTTATCAAAATCAGTTCGGCCGTTTGAGCGTGAAGAAGTAACAAACATACATACACACTCACAAACTTTCGCAATTATAATATTAGTAGGATATGAAAAATCATAGTAAAATTACTGAGTATTTTACATATGAAATAGTAGTAATGAAATTTTATTAGTGTATTGCTATGAATTATAATCAGTCATAATAATTGTAAGGATTATAGTATATTATAATTAGTATGACACAGATGGCGCTACTTGTAACAATAGTCTATGAATGTTGTGAATTCGTGAATAGTTTTGGCTAATTAATTTACGACCGGCCGCCTGCCTGACATCAACCCTCTTTGGGAATGCATTAATCAGTGATGTCTAAGTACTCTTATAAAGTACATACGACTCGGAAAAATCACATTGGTACTTGCCAGGATAAAATCCGCGCCCTCTTGCATGAGAGGTGGGGCTTTTTAGCCACTAGGGTCTAGGACACCACTGATTTTGGATATATATTAAGGGATAATTATTAATTGGTTTAATTTCCTCCAGAGGGTAACGAAGTCTTCAGCCTTCAACCGTTCACGTCCCGCGACCTCATGCTTCGTTCCCTCGCCGACCGTATATTAGACCTGGCTCAGTTGCAGTTCCTCTACCCGAATGTCGCCAAAGATGACGTCTTCTCCAAATACTATACAAAACCAGGTGAGATATATAATATATGTTAGTTATTATATATAAAATTCACAGATTTGAATGATGTCAGTATGAATGATTTTTATATATGTATGTTTAATTTAATACGAACCTATACTTCAACTTTACTTAAGCATGTGTGTGTGTGAGATGAAGTGAGATTAGTTAAAAATAGATAAATCATGTAAACAAACTGACAAAATGAAGTTAAATTTTGTACAATTTAATTTAAAAGATTATATGTTAGAATTATATAAATAATAAAAAAGTACTACCTTGTTACATAACAAATAAAGTGTGTACTACATATCATATCATATCATTATCATATCATAACTATCATTCAGAGAACGAGATGCTGAAGAACGGTTACGTGAAGCCGGTCCTAGTGACTACCCTCCCGCCATACATGTCCGCCTCCCCGGCTTACGCGCACTCGCCGGATTCGCACAGGAACACTCCTTCTGTGCACAGCAGGTAATGTGACACACACACACACACACACACACACACACACACACAAAGAGAGATAGATATATACACAACGTGACACAAGTATACATACATATATATTAATATTATAATCATAAGTGATGTTGATTTTCATCATTACATACACACATATGTATTTTTCAAACAATTTAAAACAACTATATTCAAGATAGATTTTTATATTCTATGAAATGTATGAATTATATAAAATCTAATTGTATTAAATTTTTTGTTTCTGATAATTCGTGTTAATAAAAAATTTTTGCGCTATATGTACATATAAATTCTAAAACAAGATACTAGATTTATGTATATAGGGAATTATTAAGAGATAATTTTCTAATACATACTAATTAAAAATAACCCACACATATTTATACATTTAACACTATTCTTCATATAATATTAAGTGTCAAATAACTTTGCCATTCCCACAGTTTGTCATACATATATGTGTAATTAATTCATGAATTATTGTTATTTTTTGTTATTTTCTTGTGTTATTATTATTTTTTATAATTTTTGTGTTTTTCTATCTACACTAGGTACATGATAGAATTTTGAAGCGAAGAAGATTTTTCTGATACAAACATTTGGTAGTCGCATCCATTATGTTTTATTTTTATATTTAATTTTTATTTTATTTTTTTACTCTAAAAGACAATCTCATAGTTAATGAATTTAGTATTATTTTTTTTATATTAAGTTACTTTATAAGTACATTTTTTTTATATGATAAGATATTGGAATGAAACGCTTTGGGATGTCTTAGTATGAGTTAACGAGAAGTTTGATGGTAAGATACATAAACTATCAAATAGATAGTTAAGTACAAAACATTTGTAATTAATTATATTTTGGATAAAAGACATTTAAAATTACTTTATTTAACTATCTTTTTTTTTCATACTAAGGTTGTTTATCAAAGAGGTTTCATCCAATAAGTTTGTCTCGCTCTACAGATTATAAATGTATTAATTTTTTTTCTAGCTGTGGAACAACGATCCTACAACTATAAGGTTTCGATTTATTATTGAAAAAGTATTGTTGTGTTATTTTTAATGGTTTTAAATCTGAAGTTAGTTGTTAAGTTTAAATGTTAAAAGTGAGGGTATTTGAAAAAATTTTTCAGTATTAAAAATTATGTGGATTTTTTTTGCCTAAATTAAGACTTTTTACAGTATTATGGTATAAAATTATTTTCTTTTATACTTTATAATGTTCTTTGTGATTCTTATTATCGAATAATTGCTATGAATTTTTTATATATTCAAATTATTATACAGGGTGACTGGTGAATTACTATCGATATTTGAGGACGTGATATTTGACGATCATATATGACAAAATAAAAATTAATATAACATAAATATTAATAAACTTCTAAGTAAAGTTAACCAAAAGTTATGTAATTAATTACGCATCGTGTGAACACCCTACAGATTAGGTATACACACACACACACATACGCGCGCGGCGGCGTGTTGTTGTATCAGCACGCCGCCGCACGCGTTCACACTTGGAACACTTGGAACGTGTACACACTTTATTTATTTATACGGAAATTTGGTCAAAAATTAAGTACCTATTTTTTTTTACATAATTCGAATGAGAATCATGTACCTATTATGCTCCTTAAATATTGATAGTAATTCATCAGTCACCCTGTATATACTTAATTATATTTTTTATCATACATCTGATGAAATATCAATAATATTACGGAGTTTTTTAAAATTTTATATTTATACTATTAAAAATTTAAAAAATCCTATTTATTTGAAACTTCTTCGTCCATTAAGACTTGGTCAATTTAAATTTATATTACATATCAAAAAATATTATTTTATCACATAAATATGTAATTATTTCTTATACAATAAATAAAGAAATTAGATTTAAATTTTATCTTACCTTTTGATCCGATGGCACAGTTTTTATTACGGCCTACCAAGAGAAAAGTCCCGGATTCGATATTTTCTACTGTTTTTTAAATTATATCTAATGTACACTCAATTTTATTGATGTCACGACGAATTTAAAAGATTTTTTATAAAATAGGAATATATTTCATATGAACAAATCAATATTTCGAAAATGTGCAATTATTATATATAGCCTGTGTTGTGTTTTCTTTGAGGAGTTCGCGTCGGTAATGAAAGATTCGTAATTTTAATTTATCTTTATCTTTCCTTAAAAGGAAATTATTTCTTATATACAGTTTTTCTTTAAAGATGACGCCAAAGATATTAAATTCTAAAGCAAACTTTCATTCCTGTTCGGATAAGTTCGTGTATCTTCGGCAATGTTCGTGTATTTTCGTGAATGTCATCTCCACGGAGCTCACGAGTTACTCTAAACCGTCAGTACGATAGTTACCGACGCGAGCTCGTACTTATTGTGATTTTTTAAATCTTCAATGGGAACAATTGTTGCATTTGTTTTATAACGTCTCGATCTTAGTTTGAAACGCATAATATATCATGGAACATGACAATTTATTAAAATAAGTTTTATCATATAAGTATAAGAACAGTGTAAATTCTTTTGAAACACTGTATTATGAGAAACCATTCTATGATGATACATTGTATACGTAAGTTAATATCGATTCGAGTGTCAATATATAATGGTTTTGTTTTAACTATTAAAATTTTTAAGATCTTTCATGTTATTGTAAAAGTTTTAAATGTTTTTCTCGTATACGACGTAACTGTCGGTTTGTCGGTAAGGTTGACGCGTACTAAGGTACAGTGCGACAGCTTTTATATTTGGATGTGGCTATTAAATGTTACGATATTAACGCTCGCTACGACGCTGTGGGATCAAATATATGACTTAACCAACTTTAAAGATGAGAAGTACTGTTATCGACACTAAAATTTGGATTTTTGATATATGTCTGAAATATTTAAATAATATATAGTTTGCAACGCTTAATGCTCAAACCTTCTCCATATGAGAAAGTTTTTTCTCAGTAAAAGGCTCTGATAGGCTGATGATGCAAATTTTTTTCCAAATCGAAATCCCACGGTGTCGCCGAGCGTAATTTTTTTACATAACGATGTTTATCTTTTAATGTATGTTGGTGCGTGTTATAATATACGTGGAATTATATGTAATCTTTTATTTATTTTTTGGATATTTTTTTTTTGGTGAAGAAAAAAATTTCCAAAATGAAAATCCCTCGCGAGAATGCAACACAGACGGTCGTTTTTCAAATTAAATATATTATGTAACTTTATTTATATATATCTTTATTTTTTTTTCGGTCTGTAACTGTTTATTTTATAGTCTGTGCTGTTATTTAAGCGATGGATGTAGTTTTTTTTTTATCTATATGTTTTTTTTTCATCAAACGACCGTCTATTGTAATTTATTAACGTGTTGCATTTTCTCTTTTCTCTCCCTATGTGCTGCTGTGGCTGACGACGGTACTACACGAATTGTGACAAAAATATAAATAATAATTAAAAAAAATATATATAATCTGTGGCATACATACTAAATATACTATCATAACAATACTGCCAACTTAAAAAATATACACTAAATCAATACTACCAACATTTGTGGTAAAAAAATATATATTCGTATCGTATAAACGTATGGAAAATCAAATATTACGGGGAGCAGTTACTTCAGCGCTTCAACACCGGCTCAAACTGAGAGTAGCTTCATGGAGAGTGAGCTTTTTGAACAGATAAGGGCCTTTGATCATGAGGAGTTTGACGACTTTGACTTCTACGGGGGTAACGCGGCCATGAAGTGAGGTGAGTGGGCAGGGGTAACGGCTAACTAGGTGGGGTAATGAACAACTAGGTGGGGTAATGAACAACTAGGTGGGGTAATGAACAACTAGGTGGGGTAATGAACAACTAGGTGGGGTAATGAACAACTAGGTGGGGTAATGAACAACTAGGTGGGGTAATGAACTACGAGGTGGGGTAATGAACGATTAGGTGGGTTAATGAACAACTAGGTCGGGTAATGAACTACTAGGTGGGGTAATGAACGACTAGCTGGGGCAATGAACGACTAGCTGGGGCAATGAACGACTAGCTGGTGTAATGAACAACTAGGTGGGGTAACGAATGACTAGATGGAGGTAATGGGTAACTAGTAGCTGTGATGAATGATATACAAGCCTGGGTATGGATTAATTGATGAGGGTAACACGAAACTAGTAGGAAAACAGCTGATGCATGGATTCATTATTCTCTAAAATATCATATAATCAGTAAATATTGTTATATTAATAATATATTAATCACATATATCAGGCCATTCAGATATAAAAGACTCTAAAAAATTGCTACTAAGTACTTTTATATGTGTTAAATGGAATCATGTTTTAATTTCTGTCTTTTCAGGTTTTTTTTCGTCAATACAGATCGCTTTGAAGTCAATTACGCACTTTCGTGCCATAGTCGTAGATTTTATTTTATTATATTCAATACAAATTTAATATGCAATGTTTTATTCGGAGGATGGGCGAAATAGACGCTAAAAATTATGTTTTTGGTACAAATATTTAAATATTACTGAGATTACCCATTTCTATAGTGCCATAGCTTATTCATTGGGAAACATTTGATTATTTTTTTTGCATTTTTTGTGTTTTTATGTAAAATAAGAGGATATCTTAGATTTTAATGTATTTTTTTTATATAATGTTGATTTTATATATTTGTTTTGCATTATTCCTGTACTTTGTAATGTTTTTTTGCAATCTTTTCTTAGATGATACTTACGATACTTATAAGTTGACGTCAAATAGAATTTTATGTAGAGCGCCATCTATTAAACATTTTAGGAATGAAACGACATGTGGCCTCTGAATTTTGATTAATATTTTTATATCCACATTATTACTGTACAAATATATTATTTGTTTCTACACTTCATTCAATAATCAAGGTCCCCTTAGGCCCTCTTTTTTGCTACCTTAAGGGGCCTTCGACGTTACAAGGTCCCCCTATTTGATGACGTCATTAATTACAAAAAGTATATAAATAGTTTGTCCAGTGTGATATTCGTGGCCTTAGTCTTCGTTTCAACCAAATGTTAATATTAAGAGCTTTTATCCATTGACTTTGCATTTGAAATTATAATAAAAATTATTATAAATATACATATACAAAATTCGCTTTAAATGTGCTTCAATGTTGTGTTTAGGTAATGTTGGCCCTATTATGACATATATAGTTGTTATATAAATATATATATCTTAAATTTTATATAAAAAATATAGTATATATTACTTCAACGTAGTTATAACTGTAAACTGTACGTTTTTAGTCTGACGACGACCTCGTACTAAGGTGTTAATTAACGAAGCCATTAGCGGCAGAGCTGTAATGTCGAATACAGTATATGATATATATTTTTGTTTATATTCAATGTGTCTTGAAGCTTAAACGTGTTTTTAGATTAAATAAATATTGTCTGTTTGTAGTTCTGTGTTTTTTTTTACCATTTTAATATATTTTTTATCAAATTTAGATGATTTTGTAAAGACAATTGGTCATTGGACTAGGTTTCAACATTTATAAGTACATAGTCTATATATTATGTTCCAATATTTGATAATTTCATTGACTTGGTCGAAATATAGAAATAATTTACATATTAGTCGTCATCATCATCCTATCAGAGCCCGCTGCTACACAAAGGCCTCTTCTTACATGGAGAAGGTTTGAATATTAGAGAGCATTCAAGTATTACGTAACGCAATTTTCGAAGATTTTTGACCCCCCCTTCCCCCTTCGTAACGCACAGTAACGGTTTTCTGTAGCCCCCCCCCCCCCCCCTTCTCAAAACGGTACGTAACACTCAAGTGATCAATTTCATCCAAAGTCGTAAAACAATATGTAATAGTTTGGTATAGTTTTAATCTATTAAATAAAAAAAGATCATTGACACAAAGAAGAGGGAGATCTTCTGAAGAAATTACAGTATGAACACTGTGAACTGACGGATAAACACTAGCGAATACTGACCACGGAAGCAACATTAAAAGACTTAGAATGCAATCTAGGTATTCCCCGTAAAATATCAATTAAGAGGTTTGCAAACTTGGAATAACAAATAAAAATATCGACCAGACTAATACGATCTGGTCAACATAACGTACCGTATATGAAAAGAGTTGCCAGCTTGGAGGTTTTTATTTATATTTTTTTTAGAAAAAATGCTACGTAACGTCTTTTAGAGACACCCCCTCCCGCCCCTGTAACGCATCGTAACGTTTCACGAGACCCCCCCCCCCACCCCCAAAATTGCGTTACGTAATACTTGAACGCTCCCTTAGTCACTACGCTCACTCAAGACGAGTTGGTGATTTTAAACTTATAATTTGAAATTACAAGTCCATGTTTCCTCACGATATTTTCCTTCATCAGTCAGTGGTGTTTAAATACTTATAAAGTACATATGACTCGGAACATCACATTGGTACTTGCCAGGATCGAATCCGCGCCTTCATGTATAAGAGGTGAACCTTTAAACTCAAGGCTACCACTGACAAAATATTAAATACTATATGCATACATATATAAATGAAATATATACAGAAGTTCTTTCAAGAGAATATTAACAGAGATTTATTTAATGTTAAATCCTTTATAGCATGAAATTTTAATATCATATTTCAAATACAATTTGAAGAATCTCAAATACATATACATATATAAATTCTGTATATTTGTTGAGGAATAAAAGACTTTTATTGTGTAAAGAATCATTTACTTACAATATTTATCATATCCTAATGTATAAAAACAATTAAGAAGTAACAGAAACAATTTCTTAGTGTTATTTACAGAAATAAATACATGATTTAGTTCAAAACAAAAGCAAAGTCGTGTACATTGCATATACTACACACTAAATGTCTCCTACTTCTGCAAAAACATATGTTAATATGTACTGGCTTCTACGATTCCAGTGCGAATTAAGTTGTAGTAAAAAATAAGTGACATTTATGTATGAAAAATCTTCAACACTATATTTAATGTATGATCATAGGAGGCATTATAGTTTAGTTGTTAATGACGAGAAACTACAATTCACAGATTCAAATCCAATTAATACAAAAATCATATTCAAATATTTTTATTTCTAACCTTATATATTACTAGCTTTCCACCCGCAGCTTCGCCCGCGTGGAGTTCGGTTATATCACATTTCCAAGAGAACCTTTCAAAAGTCTGGAATAAAAACTATCCTATGTCCTTTCTCAAGGTCCACTCTATGTCTGTACCAAATTTCATTAAAGTCAGTTCAGTGGTTTAGGCGTGAAAGCGTAACAGACAGACAGATGTACTTTCGCATTTATAATATTAGTAGGGATATAATCCTTATCACAAATGTATGAAATAATATATATGTTCAAGCGACACACTGGTTGATAATTTGCACCAAGTTCTTGTTCTCCAAGGCCGCAGCAACTCGTTCTTTGTCAGCCAGTTGTTTGTTCACCGCATGCTCGGAGACATGAGTGCCTTCACTCACTTCTACTGTCACTTTGTAACGACTCGGCAGAGCTCGGAGAAGCAGAACACGGATTGATAGACCTGAAAACGGTGTAGGCTTTAAAACTTGGCATATATATATATATATTTCTGAAGGATTCTTTAAAAATCTGTATATCTGTTTCCATTCAAAGTCAAATATTTTCCTAGCAATCGACAAAGAATTATACAAATATATTATTGTAAGCATACTTATATTATTTCTAATGTAATTCACTACAATATATATAATATTTCAAGAAAGAGTAAGGAAGTAAAATAACTCTTTAAGATCAGACGAATTTACTAACACCGGACGAAAAAAACCTATTAAAGTAGCTTAATATCAACATCTGCTCATTGATAGGAAATTAAAGTGATTGTTATATTTCAATAGAAGTTTAAAATTAAGTTTGTATCCGCATTAATAACGTAAGTATGAAGAAACTCACCTATTAACGTTGCCATACTACAATGAGGGATTGTAGGTGTGAAATACACTCTAACCGAATTATCTTTATTATCGACGTATATATTTCTCTCCTCAATCACCCGCAGCTCCTCTAGAGTAAGGGGATGTTCGGGATCGTTGATGTTGCGTAGAAGATCAAATATCTCCCTACTATCTATTTCATCCACAACATCTTCGTCTCGCTCGCTACTGGTCACTTCGCGCTCTGAACCCTTTTCATAAACGTTTGGATTTACATTATCAGCTATTTTCGTCATATTTTAACATAAAATCAAGTATTTAACATAAAAACAAAACCTTTCTAGATATTAGATAAACATATGATTCTGTCAAAGTCAACTCCACATTTATGTATAGATTGCCATACAATTGAAGGAAATAGTCAATTACGATGTTTATATTTTTCATTATAACTTAAAAATAAGATTATATAAAGTGTAATGATTTAATTTAGTATAATATTTTACATATAATTATTTAAAATAAAGAAAAAACTTAAATTAAAATAGTTTTGCTTTCGAACGAAACTCAACCGTCACTTGATAAAGATTAGGATAGCAAGTCGATCAATAACAGACAGAGTTTCTGTACAAATTCATAAAAACATTACTACTTCAGAAGGGGCGTTGGATTTGTTTGAACGAGATCTCATAAAAGGTAATGTAGCTTATTATTTTAATATATACACAATTCATATACACATATAAATAATATTTACTTTCGCTTAACTTTCCAGTTCCTGAGATAAGAATAGTAATTATTGTATGATCAGTTTTATATTATTTAAACGTACAGACTTTTATTATATATTCTACCCTATCCTTCATAGTTTTAAACTTAATGTAATAATTATTAAAAACTGATAATTTCGACATTTATATTATTGACCTTTTTATAAATGATTTGTTAACTTGTATGAATACATATAATAAAAAAATTCTTTTGCTATAGAACGATGGCTGATCCGTGGGTGATTCAGCCACATGAGCATGTTAAGTTTGCCGAGCATTTCCGTAATCTTGGACCTGTGAACGGTACGCTCACAGGAGAACAGGCTAAGAGATTCATGTTACAGGTAGATATTGATGAATTCTTGTCGAAATATACTAATATAGCTATAATTAATCTATTAGCAATCAGTTTTTAAACCTTTTTAATATACTAGGTCATTTAAATGAAACTAATATTATTCAAATCTACTACATACTTTATTTTTGTTAAAAACTATGTACTCTCTACGTTTCGGCTACTTTACAGCAACTGTGATCATTAAGATGAGATTAAAATGAATGAGACTCACAAAAATCTTAGATCTCATTTATATACTAGGTATTAGTTATACAACTTAAACCAATAAAATTTTAATTGTATGTCTTTTAACACATATATATTACATTTTGGGGTACATAAGTTTTTTGCATGTTAGAGTATAAAATTAAAAGGGTAAAATAATGTTTTTGTGACAAAGTAAATAAAGTATGATTATATATAGTAATCCTTGATCTACCTAAAATATGTAGAACTTCATTAAAAATTATCTAACTATATAAGAAGAGTGTTTTATATGGACATTATTTTGCAATTTTTTCATATTTAAGATGTGAGATTTAAATAATAGTATATATTTTGGGCCATTATACAGGATGACTGGTGAATTACTATCAATACTTGAGGACGTGATATTTGACGATCATATATGACAGAATAAAAATTAATATAACATAAATATTAATAAACTTCTAAGTAAAGTTAACCAAAAGTTATGTAATTAATTATGCATCGTGTGAACACTCTACAGATTAGGTATACACACACACACACGCGAGCGGGGTGTGGTGTTGTATCAACACGCCGCCGCACGCGTCCACACTTGGAACACTTGGAACGTATCCACACTTTATTTATTTATACGGAAATTTGGTCAAAAATTAAGCACCTATTTTATTTACATAATGAGAATCATGTACCGAGTATTTTCTTTAAATATTGATAGTAATTCACCAGTCACCCTGTATATATCTTCTTCTTCTTCCTGACAATTTCCCAGCTTGAGCCAGGGTCTGCCTTACATGTTGTGAATAATTTTGGTTAATTGTTTTTACGACCGGCCGCCTGCCTGACATCAACCCTCTTTGGGAATGCATTAATCAATGATGTCTAAATACTCTTATAAAGTACATATGACTCGGAACATCACATCAGTAGAGAGGCGGACCTTTTAACTACTAGGACACCACTGACTAAATATATATATATATAAAATGCTCTCAGTATGACTATTCTCATTTAGTCTCTCACAATAAAAGTCTGTTAGAGATTATTGGAGAAAAACTTAGTCATATATCTGATTTGTCTTAAATATTTAACTTGAAATTGACAAACGCTTTACATTTGCCTTTTTGTGTGTTATACAACCCATACAGAGAAACAATATTCTTTTTCTTATATAAAGCTATTAGTATAACTCTATAAACTCTATTAGTCGATTTTTTAATTTTGTGGATATAAATTATGTTTGTTTTAAAGATAAGTAAACCGTGGTGTCAAACTAGTGCTCTAAATATATCAGTTCATATTTAAAAAGTGCATTAACATTGTTTCTTTTATTTTCTATGATTATCTTTTAAGGAATTTGTATTAAAGTTATCTTTTACATATAAATGTTGTTTGTATATTAAGAAACTAAATGTATGTAAATGGAATAATAAAAAAGCTATATATATATATATGTATAGACAAATGAGATATTGTCTTATATTTCAGTCTCAACTTCCACCACCAATTCTTGGCCAGATATGGTCTTTAGCCGACACCAATGCCGATGGCAAGCTGGATCTCAAAGAATTCTCTATAGCTTGCAAGGTATGTATATAAATTTATGTAGTTGAAAATGTACACTTAAAAATATTTTTAAATCAATCCAACTCAAGTTTTGTAACTAGTATTTTATTATTTATTTATAAAATAATCTTTAATCATAAAAATAACAGAAAAAATAGGACATATTATACATACTTTTGACAATTTATTTTATGTAAATTTGTCATAGAAATTTATATACATTACAAAAGTCAGTAATTATATATTTATGTAATTTTATTTATAATGTTATTGTCTAGATAATCAATTTGAAACTACATGGAGTGGAAATACCAAAAGCTTTGCCACCATCATTACTCGCCTCTTTAAGCCCTACTGGTAAGTAATTTAAGTAATAACTATATTCCTATATACTATTTATATTAATGAATGTTTATATATTAATGTAAAATTTCTATTTCAGGTGCTAAACAACAGTTTCCCCCACCGAAGCCACCGATTCCACCAATGCCGAATCTTTCTCAAACTTCTCAACCACTTATAAGCAACCTACCACCTTCTCAGCCACTTATTAGCAACCTCCCACCTTCTCAACCACTTATAAGCAATTTACCACCTTCTCAACCACTTATAAGCAATTTACCACCTTCTCAGCCACTTATAAGTAACTTACCATCTTCTCAACCACTTATAAGTAACTTACCACCTTCTCAACCACTTATAAGTAACTTACCACCTTCTCAACCACTTATAAGCAACTTGCCACCTTCTCAACCACTTATTCCTAACCTACCACAATCACAACCACTTATAAGTAACTTACCAACCTCGCAACCAATCATGAGCAACCTTCCATCGCAACCCTTAATAAGTAGCCTACCATCTAACCAATTAATTGGTGATTTGTCAAAACCGAATGTACCTGATCTAATCTCCGGTGTAAAACCTATGGGTCAACCACTAACTGGTTTAAACCAGCCAATGACTCAAAACTCACCACTGATCAACCAAAATAAACCACTAACCGGGATCCCCCCACCCATACCTCCACAACCATCCCAAGCATTGATTGGCAATAACCAATCAGTTATTGGTAATTCCCAGCCATTAATTGGCAACAACCAATCTATGATCTCGCAAGCTCCAACAACACAGTCGGATTTGGTGGGTTTGAGCCAATCTTTGGCTGGCCAACCGCCATTGGTTGGGCCAACTCCATTGGTCCCAAGCTCGCAACCTAATATCCCTAGTGGCGCTACAGTTGGTTCCAATATTGGCCCAACAAGTCCTCCGAAACCAGTGACCAGTATGGCTCCAATGCAACCAGTTACTTCAACGCCGATTGTAGCTAAAAGCGATTCATTTTCCAAGCCTAGTAAGTATAAATTCTTTACTTTTGGGTCTGAGAGGAGATTAGTAGAGAAAGAAAATGGATTGATTAATTATACTAATATTATATATACAGGGTGACTGGTGAATTACTATCGATATTTGAGGACGTGGTAGTTGACGATCATATATGACAAAATAAAAATTAATATAACGTAAATATTAATAAACTTCTAAGTAAAGTTAACTAAAAGTTATGTAATTAATTACGCATCGTGTGAACACCCTACAGATTAGGTATACACACACACTCACACATACGCAGCGGGGGCGTGGTTTTGTATCAGCACGCCGCCGTACTTGTCCACACTAGGAACACTTGGAACGTGTCAACACTTTATTTATTTATACGGAAATTTGGTCAAAAATTAAGTACCTATTTTTTTTACATAATTCGAATGAGAATCATGTACCGAGTATGCTCCTTAAATATTGATAGTAATTCACCAGTCACCCTGTATGTATAAAAGTTACTATGTATGTATGTTTGTTGTTTCTCCAGTTAAATACCCCGAATGGACATTGATTTTAATTTACTTGTCAATATTTAAAAATACGACGGAACCTCTCACCATTCCATGTATTCACTGTGCATGTGTCGGGTCCATCGTTGTAGTGAGAGGAGCTCCAACAGTGACTGTGACTTGTGACCCAGGTGTAGGTTTAAGGGACCCTATCTAACGTTTTAAACGCTCACCTCCACTATCCAAGCTCCTCTCTATCAAATTTAAAACGAACTAACTAGGGCCTTCGACGTACGTTCCAAGAATGAATTGATGTTAGTTCTGGACAGGCCCAAGTCTTTTAGTAGGTTGTAGAAAAATTTAGCTGTTATACCTCTCGCTTCCACGACAAACCTATTTCTAGTGAGTTCATTTCTGATTTTATCTTGAATTCCCCTTAATCATCAGGTTCTCTAGTAACAAGTCCCACTGAACCATTGGGTGTTGTGAGCCCACCACCAGTAGAATGGGGAATACCACAGGCACAGAGACTCAAGTAAGTAATATATATACTATCTTTCCGCCCACAGCTTCGCCCGCGTGGAGTTCGGTTATATCGCGTTTCCAAGAGAACCTTTCAAAAGTCTGGGATAAAAACTATCCTATGTTCTTTCTCAAGGTCAACTCTATCTCTGTTCCAAATTTCATTAAAATCAGTTCTGTGGTTTAGATTACTTAATTTCTTTTTGACAATCTTTACAAAAGTACCCGTATATAATACAAAAATTTATTTTTAAGGTATACAAAGTTTTTTAAATTTTTTTTAGGGTTAAAAATTTAAAGGGTAAAATACTTTTTTGTCGATCTGTCTAATTATTATTATTACATGCACATAATACTACAGGTACACCCAACTGTTCAATGTAACTGATCGTGCTAAGACCGGTTCAGTCTCTGGAGCTCAGGCGAGAGCTGTGATGCTACAGTCTAGACTACCTCAGCTGACATTGGCTCAGATTTGGGCGTTGGCTGACCTTGACTCGGATGGCAAATTGGGTGAGAATATAAGTATTCTAACATAATAATTAAAAAATATAGGTATCTTCTAAAGCCAGTACTTTTAAATAACATATGAAACTTTAACTAGAACAAACTAATTATTATCTTAAACCAAAACACCTTCAATAAGTTGTATTCAGTTTACAAGCACACAAGTCGTGTCAACAAATACTTTCCCTCGTAAAAGTGAACAAACCAAACGTCATCTCTTTAACGACACTCCGGGTGCGTTCGGGAGTTTAAAGGGACGGCTGAAATTAAATATATGTTGTCTATACATATATATAAATCCATAAATTACACTTGTATATACATATACAGGGTGTACTTTTTCCTAATATCCAGTACGCCTATATTAAGAGGATTTTCATTGTATTAGACTTTCTAAATAACTTTTCTATCAGCTTTATTCATATATATACAGGTTGTGAAGAATTCGTGCTAGCCATGTATTTGTGTGAGAGAGCTACACAGGGTGAGCCGGTGCCAGCTAAATTACCACCTGAGTTGATACCACCTACTTTCAGGTAATATACTTATTACAAACACTTTAATACCTTTATCCTTAGTACGGATTATCGTTAAACTAAATACGTATCGTTTTCAGTCATTAATTCTTAAACTTATGTCAATACTTTCAATTATATTTGATTTCTTTCTCGTTTCGACATTTTTGGTTTGTTTTTCCTTAAATAGCAAAGTGTTCCCTATATCTTCCCAATTTCGAATTATAATATCTTCCAAAAACATAGTTCATTGAACTAAAATAGTTATTTTTGCAACAATTAGCAAATAATATTACTAATTTGGACCAAAGTTCTAACTATTTTCTAAAACTAACAGACGCGATTCAGTTTCATCACAAACCAGTATAAAATCATACGAGGAGAGAAGGAAAGAGAATTTAGCGAGAGGTCAAGCAGAGTTGGAGAGGAGACGGTCACAATTGGCTGACGCACAGATGAAAGAAAAGGTAGGCTCTTAGACTATAGAAGATACATTATTATTGGACCAAACAAGAATTATATAGTATCTTAGACAAATAATACAGGGTGACTGGTGAATTACTATCAATATTTAAGGAGAATACTCGGTACATGATTCTCATTCGAATTATGTAAAAAAAATAGGTACTTAATTTTTGACCAAATTTCCGTATAAATAAATAAAGTGTGGACACGTTCCAAGTGTTCCAAGTGTGGACGCGTGTGGCGGCGTGCTGATACAACAACACGCCGTACGTGCGAGTGTGTGTGTGTGTGTGTATACCTAATCTGTAGGGTGTTCATACGATGCGTAATTAATTACATAACTTTTGGTTAACTTTACTTAGAAGTTTATTAATATTTATGTTATATTAATTTTTATTTTGTCATATATGATCGTCAAATATCACGTCCTCAAATATCGATAGTAATTCACCAGTCACCCTGTATAGTATATTAGACAATTCTCTCTAAATACCTAAAAAAATTATACCCAAAGACTGAAGTCTGATAAATACGAAATATTTTTCCTTAGCATTGAGTTTTCTAGTAAATAATTTAGAATATCTATGTCTCCTATGTCCTAACAAAAATAATCTTTTAAATCAATTGCTACCCTTTTTTATCGACTCAAGCTAACTGAATGAAATTTTTTGAAAGAAAAGTATATATTTATCACAATAATATAAATATATTATATGTATTTTAACTAAAATAGCTTTAACTTTTCACGCATCTAGGAAGCAGAGGTAATTAATTACATATATAAGTATTTTTATGATATAATTAGATTTGAGTCTCTAATTAATAATTGTTATAGGCGGAGAGAGAGCGCAAAGAAAGAGAAGAAGCAGAAAAGAAGGAAAAATTACGTCTGGAAGCACAGAAGAAGGAACAAGAAGAATTATTACGGAAACAGAAAGAAGAACAGGTATAGAATATTTCTTGAGAGATTTAATTTATTTATCAGCTATAATAGAGTGGAAAAATACATAATTCTTAATATTTTTTATATAAATTAGCTGACAGACGTATAATTCTGCTTTTTTTGGTAATTTTGTAAAGTTTTTATATGTATCATAAAAAAATATATTGATAATAAAAATAGTTGCTTCTTAAAACTTAATATTGAATGAACACAAAGTGAATTTTGAATAACATTACCGAGTAAACTATCAAATAGGTTTCGTCATGGTTGGAGCATGTACATAATAATTATTTAATTACAAAATCTTGAAAATGCTTCTCAATTTTAATAATAATTAAAGTTTGATATAAAAATTTTCAATAATACCAATGAGATATTATTTTTAAAGTGGAATTAATATTATAAATTTATATTTCAGGAAAAACGTGAAGCAGCCAGGAAGGAAATGGAAAGACAGTGTCAATTAGAATGGGAAATGAAAAGGTACTATATAGTAGATCTATTAGAAGTATTTCACTAAGTAAAATTTGATTTACTAAAAGACTTCACAAGTTATAACTAATCAAAAGATAATATTTTTATGTTTAATCTGTTTGTTTTACAATTAATTACAAATATCAAAGCAATAATGATATTTTGGAATAATCAGCCATTTTTTAATATACAAAATGAAAAAATATTAAAATCTCTTCAATATACTTCCTAAGTAAAGTTTAAATTATAGTTAAATGTATTCAGTATAAATGTATTCTAGTCAGTGGTGTCCTAGTGGTTAAAAAGCCCGCCTCTCATACACGAGGGCGCGGGTTCAATCCCGGCAAGTACCAATGTGATTTTTACTAGTCATATGTACTTTATAAGAGTATTTAGACATCACTGATTAATGCATTCCCAAAGAGGGTTGATGTCAGGCAGGCGGCCGGTCGTAAAAACAATTAGCCAAAACTATTCATAATATGTAAGGCAGATCCTGGCTAAAGCTGGGAAATTGCGATGAAGAAAAAGATATATATATGTATATATATTTCCAGAACCCGTGAACTTGAAGCTCTTCGTACAGAAGAACAATCCAAGGTATTGAGTCTCAAGTCAAAATCACAAGTCCTTACAGCGGAGTTGACTTCTGTGACCCTAAGGAGTGGAAACTTGGCCAAGGACATACGAGATACTAGAACGGCTGTGGCCAGTGCAAAATGTACCATAGATTCTATGAGGTAAGACTTATATTCTTACTAGCTGTGCCCCGCGAATTTCCTTGATTTTCGGGACGTAAAGTAGCCTATGTGTTATTCCTGGATATCAGCTTCCTGTATACAAAATTTCATCAAAATCGGTTCAGCCGTTTGAGCGTGAAGAAGTAACAAACATACGCACACTCACAAACTTTCGCAATTATAATATTAGTAGGATGTCGTCTATATGTTCTATATAAAATTCTCGTGTCGCGATGTTAGACAGAGAACTCCTTTCAAACGGCTGGACCGATTTTGATGATATTTTGTGGGCATATTGATTAGCTCTGAGAATCGGCCAACATCTATTTTTATAGTCATAAGGTTCATATTGAATAAATTACATATATATAATATATTAATAAGGTTTTTAAATATTAATAATATAATACATTTTTAAATAACCTTCTAATATTAATTATATATTTTCTATCTACGAATATATTTAAAAGATTTTCTCTACATATAAATGAGAAATAACACATAATTTGATATTTTTTTTCTTATATTAGGTCAGATCGCGACGCATCGATGGCTGAAATGCAGCAGCTAAAGGCGAGAGTCAAAGAATTGAATGCAAAACAAATAGCACTGAACAAGGAGAAGGCTGAGTTGGATACAAAGGTTTGTATAGATAATATATTAGAAAAAACTTAGTTTAAACTTAGATATATATAATAACTAGCTTTCCGCCCGCAGCTTCGCCCGCGTGGAGTTCGGTTATATCGCGTTTACAAGAGAACCTTTCAAAAGTCTGGGATAAAAACTATCCTATGTTCTTTGTCAAGGTCAACTCTATCTGTACCAAATTTCATTAAAATCAGTTCAGTGGTTCATGCGTGAAAGCGTAACAGACAGATAGAGTTACTATCGCATTTATAATATTAGTAGGGATAATATTATGAAATTAATTTCAGTATAAATGTAAAAATAATTATACTTTTCTATATTACATCGCTTTTGTGTTAATAGTTTGTGTTTTGTATATATTAGTCAAACTTGGATGTAACTGGACTGATTTTGATGAAACTATCTACAAATATATAGCTTATATTGTATAATATATGATGTATATAAAAGTATGTGATTTTTTTAAACTTCAGATCAAAGTGTCGGACGGAGCTGACGATGGTAACTTGAACATGATGGAGGCTAACTTGAAACAACTCAGAGATAAGGTGAGTACAGAACATATATATATATATACAGGGTGACTGGTGAATTACTATCAATATTTAAGGAGAATACTCGGTACATGATTCTCATTCGAATTGTGTATAAAAAAATAAATTTTTGACCAAATTTCCGTATAAATAAATAAAGTGTTGACTCGTTCCAAGTGTTCCAAGTGTGGAAACGTGCGGCGGCGTGCTGATACAACACTACGCCGCCGCACGCGTATGTGTGAGTGTGTGTGTATGCCTAATCTGTAGGGTGTTCACACGATGCGTAATTAATTACATAACTTTTGGTTAACTTTACTTAGAAGTTTATTAATATTTATGTTATATTAATTTTTATTTTGTCATATATGATCGTCAAATATCACGTCCTCAAGTATCGATAGTAATTCACCAGTCACCCTGTATATATATATATGTCGGAGAAGAGGCCAAAACGTGGTTTTTAAAATGAGTGACGTCAGCATAACTGACGTCACCAGTGCAGTTTGTTCTCGAATGTCGTCAGTCCTTGAGGCTATCGAAGGTAACCTCACAGCCCTCACAGCCGGTGGGACGGTGTCTCGCTTCCAAGAGGTTCGATCCCCGCGACGGCTCCAGCACGACTATCTGTAATCAGTAACTCGCCTCTATTTATAATGACTAACAGCCATTGTTATGACTTCACTCGGACAGGTTGTTACGCGAACGACACCTGATAATTTATCTACCCTCAATTATTGATTATTAAAATGGTAACTGCGCCGACATATATATTATTGGAATATACGATACTAATACATATATGTATATGGAGGAAAAAAAAGAAAAATATAATATTATAAAAATATAATATTAAAGTAGTGTGCTTTAGACCACACGACTGTAGTAAAACTTCTTTCCCTCCATTTATATGTCAAATGTATATGCATATGTTTATACATGTATTATACAGATATTTATATACACATATCACACTTTTCGTAACGCATTCACCAGTTTACTCCCAAGTCAAGCGTGCGTAAAGAAGTTTTAATTTAAAAATATCTTAGGCAAAAGCTCAGTTCAGTGTAGCGAATTTATTTTAACAAACACTTTTAGTCAGTGGTGGCCTAGTGGTTAAGGGGCCGCCTCTCGTTGCCGAGGGCGCGGGTTCAAACCTGGCAAGTACCAATGAGATTTTTCGGAGTCATATGTACTTTCTGAGAGTATTTAGACACCACTGACATACGGTGAAGGAAAACATCGTGAGGAAACCTGGACTTATAGTTTCACAATTATAAGTTTGAAATCACCAACCCGTCTTGAGCAAGCGTGGTGATTAATGCTCTAACCTTCTCCATGTGAAAGAGGCCTTGCTCAGCAGTGGGCTTCTAATAGGAAACACTTTTATTTGTCTATAATGTATATACACTTACAAAGTCTTTTATTCCTTCCAAATGTCATCTTAAGGTGGACGCAGCCAAAGCTCTGGTCGAATCTAAGAAGAACGATCTAGAAGCCAATCAGTCTCAGCTGAGCGAGTTATCGGAGAAGGTGACGTCACTAGTGGACAAGTGCGAGTCGGTGTGGAAACTGTATGAGACGAAGAGGGACGAGTACATGAGCAGGAGCACCGCGCCCGCAGACAGCGCCTGGGGGACTGGTGAGTGGAGGGGAGAGTGAGACAGAAGATGTGTGTGTGTGTGAGATAGAAGATATTGACGTCACTGTTCATTTCTTCTTCTGGGCATATACTAGCTTTGAGAGTGACTAATAATTTGATCCAAAATATGTGATAGGACTGAACCTAAAATCATATTGAGGATATGATTTATAAAAATATTAGAAGACCCGGCAAACTTCGTATCGCCCTATAATCAAGAAATATCTGTTACGTTTTTTTATTTATATTTTTGGAGTTCACCTATTAAAGCCATAAATCTCCGTGTTTTGAAGTGCGACAGAATGATTGACATATTAGTTAGTTGTCAAATCTAGTGTCAAAAAAAAACACGTTTGTATCAACAACTACTAATAAATTAAAAATAAATTAAAAAAACATTGTCCAGCGGACAAAATTGTGTATCTAAACAATTCCGAGATTCCCTTGAACACACACAAAAAATTTCATAAAAATGCGTCCAGTGGTTTGAGAGAAGTTCAGTGACATACACACTCACAGAAGAATTATATATATAAAGATATTTTGCTGTACTAATTATAATATTATATGGAGTGTTAATATTACAGAGGCTGACTGGGGAACATCCAACGAGGCGTGGGGAGAGCCGGCGAGTAACGAGGCCTGGGGCGACGCGCCCGCTACTAACGGTGAGTGTGATAACATATTTATATAATATATATATATATATATATATATATCTTCTTCTACCTGGCAATTTCCCAGCTATAGCCAGGGTCTGCCTTACATGTTGTGAATAGTTTTGGCTATTTGTTTTTACGACCGGCCGCCTGCCTGACATCAACCCTCTTTTGGGAATCAACATTAATCAGTGATGTCTAAATAGTCTTAGAAAGTACATATGACTCGGGAAAATCACATTGGTACTTGCCCGGGCCAGGATCGAACCCGCGCCCTCGGCAATGAGAGGCGGGCCCTTTAACCACCAGGCCACCACTGACTCTATATATAGGTTTAAATCTGTTTATCCTTAAAGACAGTAGATAAGATTTTGGATTTGATCAACTATTTTTTTCTTTTACAATCGTATGTAAATATCCTATGTCCGTCTCCTTGTTCTAATCTATCTCTCCACCAATCTTCATCCATATCCGTACAGTCGTTAGAGTTATATATAGTGTAACTAACACGACTTTCTTTTAGATATATTTATATACTACATCTCTTTTTTCTCTCGTCAGCCGCGGAGGTGGTTCCATCTTCTACCACGTCAACCGCCAGATGGCGCTGTGTGTATGAATTCACTGCTCGGACTGCGGACGAGCTGAGTCTACAACCAGGAGACATGGTCGGTATATATATATATATATATATATATATATATATATATATATATATATATATATATATATATATATATATATATATATATATATGTGTGTGTGTGTGTGTTACAATTAACTGCTAAACCGATTATCATGAAATTATTTTGGTATATTGCTTATATAAATAGATTTTAGTAGTAAAATTCATCTTAAGTAATAGGAAAAGTAAGTAAAGATATGATAATTGTTTAATATTTTTTTTGTATATATTTTTTTATGATTGTTACACTTCTAAAACTCTAAATCGGTTTTGATGAGGACGAGATTCTAATTTAACAATGTTTAAAGTTGAAAAAAATTTGTTGAAATCTTTGACCTAGTCACGTATGCTATAGAAATACAGGTTTTTTCAATAATTGTTTCTTATACATTGTGTTTTTTTATGTTAATATTTATTTCAGGTGAGTGAAGCGGTCGCGCCGAGAGGAGACGCGGAGCCCGGGTGGCGCTGGGGTACAGCACGGGGTAAGGAAATAACGACTCTATAGCATAAATAATAAGGTATTAATTGAACTGTCTGCCTGTCTGTTAGGGTTAAAACACTAAACAGGTAATAAAATACTTGAATAGGGAAATATGGATTACTTGGTACAGAATAAATAAAGTTTTCATTGGATATAACGGATTTATTACACATTTATATCAAGATTTAAACATAGTTCTATTCTCCTTTTAAAAAATCTTTGATCTCGTTTTACTTTTAACAATAATCATGAATACTAATGAGTTTTAATAAGAATTGATGACAGGCTCGAGTTATTTCATGTCGCATCCGTTATTAAAGCTGATAGCGCCGATATATAACCTTTATGCTTTTTATATATATATTATGTATTTTATATCGTAGGTCAATCGGGTTGGTTCCCGGAGTCATATGTTGAAGATATAAACGCTGTACAGGCGTACGCCGAGGTCATTGAACCTCTGGAGACTAAAACGCAGCTGGAAGGTCAGTGAGAGAGAGAGACGGAGATATTGTGTGTGTGTGTGAGAGAGAGAGATGGAGATAGATATTAACTATAATATTATCGCAGGTATAGCCGAGGTCCCGGAGGCTGAAATATCAAATGACCTTGGAGGAGCCGTGCCTATTGTAGGTGAGTTAATAATAATAAGAGATAATAAACCTTATATATATGAGAATAAGGTGCTGAATTGATTGGATTGATGTAAGAATAAGGACTACTGTTTTTGTACTGGATTTATTCGTATAAGGACTCAATATATATAAGTTGTTAACCAAAAAAATTTTTCAATATGTTCCACTTATATTAAGATACAGTGTTATTATATATTGACTATATATAGAGTGTTCCCCATATATTCTTCAAGATGTTCTCGCTACACCCTGTATATCCCACAGAGGGAGGAGACTTCTATATCGCGGCGTATCCTTACAACTCCACGGAACCAGGAGACTTGACCTTTGAGGCTGGAGAGAGGATAGAGGTCATGAGGAGGGATGGAGACTGGTGGACCGGCAGGGTGGGGATACGGTGAGGATAGGGATAGAGGGGGATAAGGGAGGGATAGAGTGGGATAAGAGAGGGATAGAGTGGAATAAGGGAGGGATAGAATGGGATATAAATTGGAATGAGCTCATATAAGGAGTAATTTTAATGTAATGTAAAATTTTTATTACTATTTTACAATTAATTAGTTTATGACACTATAGCCTTGTTGTTAGAATGACTGTAAACCATTCATTAAGGCGCAGATACGAATAGCAAAAAACTTCAAAGAAAATTATATATACTTTTATATAACACTTAAGTTTTGCTAACTAAATTTAAATCCACTGCAAAATAGATAACCTTTCTAAGAATATAGATGCTTAAAAATTATTTATTTCCTACTAAAACACTTGATTCATCGACGATTGTAACTCAATACTGCTAATAGATAGACAGTCCACTTGAATACGTACGGTATTACAGTATTGGTCTTTACTATCAGTTTTAACGTATTCTAACTCATACTAGGCACATTACTTTACTTGATTTATAAAGCTTTGATTTTTAAAAATTTCCAGCACCGGCATTTTCCCATCCAACTACGTCACCAAGGATACAACGACTGGAAGTGACGTCATGTCGAGTATACCGGAAGCGAGGGAGCCAGAACCTGTAAAGGAACTGCAAACGGTAATAATATCTTCTTCATGGTAACTTCCCAGCTTTTAGCCAGGGTCTGCCTCTCATATTAAATTCAATCTCATATTAAATTGTGTATATTGTAATATATGAGAGAAATATATATATATATAAAAAAAAAAAAAAAACCCGCTGAGTTTCTTTCGCCGGTTGTTCTCAGGTCAGGGTATTTTGTTTTCCGAACCGGTGGTAGTGTCTCAAGTGACCATCAATAAGAAAGTGTAATACTTCTATATTGAATAAAGTTGTTTGAGTTTGAGTTTGAGTTTGCCTTACATGTTGTGAATAGTCTTGGCTAATTGTTTTTACGACCGGCCGCCTGACTGTCATCAACCCTCTTTGGGAATGCACTAATCAGTGATTTCTAAGTACTCTTAGAAAGTACATATGATTTGGAAAAATCACAATGGTACTTGCCAGGGCCAGGATCGAACCCGCGCCTTCGTGCATGAGAGGCGGACCTTTTAACCACTAGACCACCACTGACTTCAATGATATATTAATTTTATTTTTTTTAGGAATTTTTATTTTAATTCATTTTATTTTCCTTCATTGTTTCTCAGAAATTAAATTTTAATATCAAAAGAAATATATCAATTATTATCGATAATAACTGATTTACTATGAGTCTCGTTTACCTAAAGACTGATAGTTTCACGTTTATACTATGTATTTATAGGTGTCCGAGGTTGCACCAGAAATACAAGCTGAGCCCAAAGAAGCTCCCGTCGACTATATACAGGTATATATACTAGCTTTCCGCCCGCAGCTTCAATCGCGTGGAGTTCGGTTATATCGTGTTTCCAAGAGAACCTTTCAAAAGTCTGGGATAAAAACTATCCTATGTTCTTTCTCAAGGTCAACTCTATGTCTGTACCAAATTTCATTAAAATCAGTTCAGTGGTTTAGGCGTGAAAGCGTAACAGACAGACAGAGTTACTTTCGCATTTATAATATTAGTAGGGATTGTAATTTTGGTTGGTAACAAAATTATTATATACATAGTAGCGCTATCTGTCTACGTCCTACCTTATTCAAAGAAGATTAAACGTTTGAAGTCGTAATCATTGTTAGAATCAGTATAAACCAAACAATATATATTGTCTTAGTTATCTAAATAGCTCGCTAGGGGCGCCACTGTCTGTACCACAAGCGTCACTCTATACTCTCTCATGTCAACTGTTTAAACTGTGTTATCATGATAATAATACTCAGTTTATCAATTTAATCCACTCTTATTTTTGTTTTAATATGTATATGTCAACAGGAACAGAAGTCATCCACGCCGATATCCTCGGAGGTGGCTTCTATAACGGAGTCAGCGGGAGGTGGTGCGGGGGGCGCTCGGCCCGCGTCCGCCGCCAGGAGGGACTCCGGCCGGGACTCCGCCACCAGGAGGAAGCATGAGGTGGCGCAGGCACTCGCTAACTACACCGCTACCAGGTAAATTTGACGCGACGGGTATATAACGCCCTCTCACTCGCACCACATACGAGTGAGCGAGAGGGAAATCTGTGACGTCATATACGATGCTCTCTCACTAACACCTCATGCGAGTGAGCAAAAGGAGAGATACGTGACGTTCACTTACACTCTATATAAGAAAGCGGGATGGGATTATCTAGGAGGTCATGTATGATGCCCTCTCACTCGCACACCATACGAGTGAGCAAGACATGAGATATGTGACGTCATATATAATTTGTTAATTTCCAGTTCGGAGCAGCTGTCTCTAGTGAAGGGCCAGCTTTTAGTTGTGAGGAAGAAGGCTGACAGCGGCTGGTGGGAAGGAGAACTACAAGCGAAGGGACGCGCGAGGCAGAGCGGGTGGTTCCCCGCTACATATGTTAAGGTAGGGAGGATATATATATGGGGGGGGGTTCCAGAAGTAATTATACAGGTGTAACTATATATTAAAACCGTTATTATGAAGGAGAACTAATGAGACTGACATGTAATAGCAATATTATTAAAGACAACAGATACATAATAATTCAATAAGGTTGTAATAAGATCTGAGATCTTCGTTAGTTCTCATTTAAGTTAACTAATTTTCGGATTTTACTTCGCGTTTTATTTTAAGGTTTAAGATTGTAATGATTGTCATATAGTGTTGCAAAATATATATTATTCTTACATATTGGACTCATTTATATGTTTTGTTTGTATGTTATTATCTATATATGTTATATATAGGTTCTTCAGTCGTCGGGGCGCACCTCGGGCCGCACTACGCCCGTCATGTCCAAAATGGATTCCGTGCCCACGGAAACTGTTATAGATAAAGTGAGAAGGCTTTAATTACTATATTTTAAGTACAAAATGATTTTATTAATATTATTACTCATCAATAGGATATCTAGGTTTAAAGAAGTTTATTTCCAAAAAGAACAGAGTTCGTTTACAAAGGAAATTTTAAAAACTATAACTACAATTAAAATTACAAATAATAAACAGTAGTGATATTAAACAAGATCAGTGAAATCATATAATATATGGGTTGTTAATAGTTTTTTAAATATATTTAGAGATTTTGAATTGACAACACTTAGAAGTAAAGAGTTGTACAGCTAATATATATCTATTGTTTAAGAATCCAAAAATAATATTCATAGAATCTTCTAGAATCGATAGAACAATACAAAACGTGTTTATTGCAATAGTAGTATAATATATAATGAAAGATATAAGAAATAAATTATGATTAAATAAAGATCGCCTCAACTATTTACTTATGTTTAGACAACTTTCTGTAGTTATTGTGTAGTCGATTTGACATACGACGACGTACAAACTAAATATTGGTTTTATGTATGTAGACTTAATTAGACGAGAATCTATCATATATTTGTATGTTTAGGTCATCGCTCTGTATCCATACACGGCTCAAAACGCGGACGAACTCAGCTTCGACAAGGACGACATTATAGCGGTCACTGACAGGTCGCAGGACCCCGCTTGGTGGCAAGGTATGACATACAAACACACACACACACACACACACACACACACACACACACACACACACACACACACACACACACACGCATATAGACATATATATACTAGAAGACCCGGGAACTTCGTATCGTCTTAATGATTGACATATTAGTTGTAAAATCTAATGTCAAAAAATAAAACGTTTGTATCAACAACTACTAATAAATTAAAAATTAATTAAAAAATCACCAGCGGACAAAATTGTGAATCTAAACCATTCCCAGATCCCCTTGAACACACACAAAAAATTTCATGAAAATCGGTCCAGTCGTTTGAGAGAAATTCAGTGACATACACACTCACAGAAGAATTATATATATAAACATATGACCCAACAGTCAGCGCCATCTATCGTGTATCGTTACTTCATACAATACTACACGGACTGAACGATACATTATATACTGTGTTATTATTATATATGACATATATTACTGTAGAGTTTCATTACAATTAACTATTGTATTAATAATTTCCAGGTGAACTTCGTGGTATGACCGGCCTCTTCCCAAGCAACTACGTCACCAAACTGGTTAACTGAACCAGTTTGAAGATACCTTCGATAGAGGGCGCTTAACCAAAATATTAATAATATTGTGTATTAAGTAGTTCCTTAGAAGTTCTGCTAATCAATAATAGATGGCGCTTTTAAAAATTGCTTCAATGACTACTAAAAGCTTATAACTATTGATTCTACCGATAGATGTCACTTAAAACTAAAAGCTTATACAATTTCTTATAAATTTTATTGACATTCCAAATCACAAATGTGGCGTTGAAGTGTTTTACGATTAAAATGTCCAATGTTTTAATAAGTTTTGACCTAGTATTATTGCTGTTTATTTATTTTATATTTAATGTTTGTTCTCAGTTTTTAGTACAAATGTTATGAGATGTTGAACTTATCATGTATTGTAGATGTATTAAATGTTTAAATTGCAAACGTTTTTTTTAATATACACCCCTTAATCTTGGTTGTTTAAAATGTGTCCTTCAGCCGTGTAAAAACGTGCACAGTATATTCTGCCAGTGTCGTGTAGAAGGTAGAGAGGATCTGGGATTAACTTTTAAATGAAATTAAATTTAACAATTTCGACTGAAGTTACAATTAGGAACTTTGTTAGTAGATAATGTTTTCATACGGAGACGTTTCAACTGACAGTATCCCCGTGGTGACAATCTCTTATTTACTATGTACTTAACCAATTGAGTCAAATGTTGATTAATTTATTTAACAAAGCATAATTACAATTACAAATAGTAATCATAATTATTTAGAATCAATTATATAACATACACCTGGGTCACAAGTCACAGTCACTGTTGAAGCTCCTCTCACTACAACGATGGACCCGACACACGCACCGTGAATACATGGAATGATGAGAGGATTCGTCTCTCTATATATATTAAACCTACACCTGGGTCACAAGTACCAGTCACTGTTGAAGCTCCTCTCACTACAACGATGGACCCGACACACGCACCGTGAATACATGGAATGATGAGAGGATTCGTCTCATTTAAGCTACTACTAGTGTTGAGCGTGGGAAATTTCTTTGAGTACGTAAAAATAATCATTACAATTTTCTTACATTACAAAAATCACATCATTCATTAGGAATTTTTTATATGGTTAGAATTGCTGTCAAATTTACCGGCTACCGTAAATAAAAAGTTCCATTAACGTAGTTTTTAATCTATGAGATTAATATTTTTGTGGGAACTTATATTTACTTCATAATTAAAGATTAGATAAAAATGTACTTTTTACAATAAGTTTATGAAATTAGAAATCATTAAGACGATGATGAAAAGGGAAAATATAAATGATAGTCGCTACTACTAGGAGTAGTTACCGGATATCCTCAATCGTTACTATCACTGAAATCCTTACTCCAATAATCAATATATTTCAACCTTCTACTCTTTGCTAAGTGTTATTATTACTCTTTTGTTAAAAAAAGAAATCACATCGGGTAAATAGGTTATCCCTACTAATATTATAAAATATGCGAAAATAACTGTCTGTCTGTTACGCTTTCACGCCTAAACCACTGAACTGATTTTATTGCAATTTGGTACAGACATCGAGTTGGCCTTGAGAAGGAACATAGGATAGTTTTTATCCCAGACTTTTGAAAGGTTCTCTTGGAAACGCGATATAACCGAACTCCGCGCGGGCCAAGCTGCGGGCGGAAAGAAAGTCGTATTAATAAAGTTTGTAACTTCATTCTCCAAAGATTTATTTGTCTTCAAATATGTCATGTACGTCGATAATTACCCCGGAAACCACACACCCATACCAACTCCAATATTATTTAATTATGATTTGGTAAATTTCGTAAAGGTACTTCATGGTGTAAGATGAAAATACTTAGTGTATGTGAGTAAAAACTAATCATATCAGTGGTGAATATTTACATTAGAGGCAGTCTGGGGCTAGTTCCAGGGTGGCAAAACTAGGAAAGAAAGAATAATTTTTGTATGCAATACATAATCAACTAATTCTTTTAAATAAACATTTTACCTTTCAAGAAATATATTTTATTTATTATGAATCAAATTTAGATTTAATATAATACAGGAAATTTAAGTAAAATCTATTCAAATAGTTTTATTAATTCATTTCCATAATGCTTTGAAAAAAATAACTTTATATTTTACTTTCTGGAGTTGATAAATTTGTTCTGAAGAATTAAAAATATTTTCAAATTATGTATTTCTTTTTGATAACATAAACTTTCATTGTTTAATGATTTTTCCTAAATCAGAAGAATTATTCAATAACACTAATTAATTTTTATTTAAAAGACCAATTTTATATTTTTGAATCAAATCCTCTGTCAACTACACGTGCTGACACCTACAGGCTAGTAGAAGTCTAGAACAGTGTTAACAACATTTTAAAATCAAAAAATATCAACTTAATCAAAAAGTTGGTATGTTTTCTGTTCGGTGATATCTCTATTTTTTGATGGTGAAGAAAAAAATATAAGTTTCTCACTTACAGTACCATTTTTGGATAAAATAATCATGTCTCTTTTAATGAAATGACACTCGATATCGTTTTGAAAATGTTCTTTAATCTTTTTTAAAAAGTTGTGTTCTCTTTTATTTATTTATAGAAAATTGACATTAAAATACTAAAACTTTAATAGTATTTTTTTTCGTAATACTTTTAATTTTGCAATCGAGAAAAACCGTTTTTTACCCTTAAATATCCACCCACACACCCACTCTTCCCGATCTCTGATCTCCCGTAAATTTTTTTCCTTTGATTTTTATAATATTGCTCTCCTTTTTCTAATGGGTTTCATCCTACTATATTTTTTTTCACTTTTTGTTATTTTTAAGGCCTATACAGTATACACTCAGTATACAAGTATAACTAGGTTCATATCATATAATTTCTTTTAAATTTGACGTTTAGATGAATCTTACCTGCAAAGACTTTCAATTTTGTTGAGCGTAATATGAAAAAAAAATTGAATATGGTTGCACAAAAAAAAATAATTGGTTATGAGTACCGAAAACGCGCTTAGGACAAATGTAAAAAAGGGAAAGAGGTTTTGAGTAAAACTCCTAAGTTTGACGTTTTTTTTTAAAAGAAAGAATGTGTAAAACAGAAAATTCTAATTCTTAAAAATTAAGATATGAAAACTATTATAAAAACATTCACTATAGGGCGGTATTTTCTTTAGTGCCCTAGGGTGGCACAAATTTAAATCCGGCCCTCAATCATGGAGTCACTGGTTCTGTCAACGAGATTGATTCAGAAAGTCAAACCAAGCCATTAGCTAACTTTAAAGAAACTATTCTTTGTGACCGTTGTTGATAAAACATTTTACTGTCATTCTATTTAAATTGCTATAATTAATAATTACACTCCCTACTAATATTATAAATTCGAAAGTAACTCTGTCTGTCTGTTACGCATTCAAAGTTTTAGATCTTTTTATTACCTACAACTTTGCCATATAACATTTTTTTGTAGGACTTTTAGTTTTGCCGGAAACCGAGAAAACCCATTTTTTACCTTTAAATACCCATCCCCATACCCTTCCCGACCTCAGATCGCCCGTAAATTATTTTTCCTTCCATTTTTATAATATTATCCTCCTTTTGTAATGAGTTTCATTCTACTATAATTTATTATGTTTTAAAAGCTATCGGCACTGGTCTATACGTTAAGTCAATCGTATTGAAAATTAATGGACTTGAAAATATTTTTCTACTGGCCCTACGCTTTATTCCGCCACAGTCTTATTTTATTATGCCTTACGTATCATTATACCTTTTTAAATGACAACTCTTTTATTGAATAGATTATTATTATTTGATATTGTAATCTGTACGATACTTATTATTATTTTTTCGCTAGAACAAATTGATTCAGAGTTCTTAGAACAACATCCATCAATTATAGTTTTATAAACAAATGACATAAAAATTAAACACAACATGGGAGATTTTATATATTTTAATCTTACTCCAACGATATAAATAATAGATACTAACTCCAAAATAAATTAGAATAATGTTGCCAGGAAAACTACCGAGACAGTGTAAATGGAAAAAGTAATTTAGAACTTCATTATGGCAACATTATTCCACTTTAGCGCTTAGAATTTAAAAACAACTAAAACAAGACAATCTGTGATAGGGTTCATGCATATAATTGTCTTTTGTTGCTTGAAAATTTTCATTTTTTGATTTGGTTTGGAATCGTAAGCACTTTAATCGGTAATTTTCAGGAAATTCCGATAAACAACATCCAAATAAAAACGATTCACTTACAAAATTAAAACATACATCGGAAATTTTGACAAAAAAAAAAACTACTTAAAATTTGGCGGGAAGTTGAAAATTGACAGCTGACAGTTTTCTATAAGAAAATGTATATTGAAGGTTCCCATACAAGTTTGCATTATTACCCCGAACAGAAAAAACTTTGAAATTACTTAAATAATTAATAAAATCCTAAAGGATTCATGAATTTTTCACATTCAAACTTGTACTTCAAGGTAATGATGCAAACGCGTACCCACAATGAAGACATCACCCGTTGCTAATAACTATCAAATATACGAAATCAACAATTTTTTATTCGATTACGACTCAAAAATCAGATCTGCGTACTTTAATCTGTAATTATTACGAAATAATTTCGATCTACGTAATATTTTCAATGTCTAATCATGTATATCAAGTTTATTTGCATTTATTAACAACGGGATATAATGTGTTGTTTAAATAATACGTGTTTGGTGTTATAATATTTTATTGGTGTCGTGAACAGTTAGCGGCGGTGTGGTCGCGATGGTCCCGCCAGTGACGCTCCACAAACTTTCTGATGTAGTTGTATGGCTTGGAGTCCTGCTCACCCAAAACGTTTTCCACCTACGGATATTACGTTAAACATTAAAGTCTAGTATCTAGTATTACGGTCACAACTTCAAAACTTCCATCAATGATATCAAGATATAGAATTTAGGTCAGTTTTTTTTAATATAACAATTTGTCTTATTAATGTATTAAAACTCTAAAAATACTGCTTGTTTATTTTATATGTATATCAATATTTCTATAATAGATTAAGTCACATGTTTGTATAACTAACTGAAGGTATAAAAACAATCGCTGAATGAATAAAAGAATAATATATATATTTTTGTTTTTTAATTCGGATGAACGGATGTTTTTACTTTTTTATCACCGACCCCTACTTTTGATATGGTAGAACAATGTTTACCGGGACAGCTAGTATAATGTTTAATTTTATTTACTTAGGAACACCAACAGTACATAAGCAATATTTACACAAAAATATAGCCAAAAGTATAGGTCTTCATATGTACACCTATTACAGGTATTCACAGCACTGTCTAAAAAGTTTTACAACGACAACACCTTAATCTTTATATGTTTGTATGGTCAAAAATTAAGTACCTATTTTTTTACATAATTCGAATGAGAATCATGTACCGAGTATGCTCCTTAAATATTGATAGTAATTCACCAGTCACCCTGTATATATACATACCTTATATGGTGGTGTGATTGTGACTTCATTGTATACTCGGATGCTCTGCCCCGACCACGACACATCATCGATGACCCTCGCGATGGCTAGGAACAGTCGCTGGCCCTCGGGGTCAAGACACGCTGATAATGCTGATACCTGGAATAATAATAACTCATCAGGTTAATATATATACAAATAAGTTTATCAAATGTTCACATCTTGTCTTTATGATGATAGTTGCTGAAAAGTAATGAAAATGTCCTGAGTATGTAGTTTTTTACAAGACGAGACGAAACCTCTCATCATTCCATGTATTCCCGGTGCGTGTGTCGGGTCCATCGTTGTAGTGAGAGGAGCTTCAACAGTGACTGGGACTTGTGACCCAAGTGTAGGTTTAATATATATAGAGAGACGAAACCTCTCATCATTCCATGTATTCCCGGTGCGTGTGTCGGGTCCATCGTTGTAGTGAGAGGAGCTTCAACAGTGACTGGTACTTGTGACCCAGGTGTAGGTTTAATATATATAGAGAGACGAAACCTCTCATCATTCCATGTATTCACGGTGCGTGTGTCGGGTCCATCGTTGTAGTGAGAGGAGCTTCAACAGTGACTGGGACTTGTGACTCAGGTGCAGGTTTAAGGGACCCTATCTAACGTTAAACGATCACCTCCACCGTACAAACTCCTCTATCTACCTAACCAAATGTAACATAGTATATCAGAAAATTATTAAGTTTCATTTAAATAAGTTTATGTTATGTTAAATAGTTTCTTGGAAATAAAGAATAAATATATACTTATATTTAAGTATACACCTGGAACTTCTAGAATATTCTGAATTAGTAATTTTGCAGGTTGAGTTTATTTTTACCATAACATAAGGACTGAAGTATCATATGGATTATATATGATTTGTGATTTTATCAAATTTATGCAGAAGCACTCTTTAATATAATAATTTAATTGTGACTTCTTAGTTCTTCTTCTACCTGGCAATTTCCCAGCTATAGCCAGGGTCTGCCTTACATGTTGTGATAGTTTTGGTTAATTGTTTTTACGACCGGCCGCCTGCCTGACATCAACCCTCTTTGGGAATGCACCTATAAATCTAGGACCATATTTATAGATCTACATGTATCAAGCCGACAGAAACTGGAAATGCGTGTGATTGATTGTTGCTATTGTCTCCAAAATAAACCTCTTATCTCTATAGAGTTTATTCACTGCTATAAAGAGTTTGTGCTGCATACATGTAAATGTACTCGTAATTTCTGGATAAAATTCTAATAATTTGCACATATACAGGGTGACTGGTGAATTTCTATCGATACTTGAGGACGTGATATTTGACGATCATATATGACAAAATAAAAATTAATATAACATAAATATTAATAAACTTCTAAGTAAAGTTAACCAAAAGTTATGTAATTAATTACGCATCGCGTGAACACCCTACAGATTAAATCTGTATAACTAAAGATGAAGACAGTTCAGAAAGTCTGTCTCCGACCTGGCTCTTGTTTAAAAATACATGACACTATATGGTAGTTCAAAAATGTATGATGGCAAGCTTCGTCAGTAATTTATTTGTATGACAAATCTATTCCTACTCATGTATTTGTCACTACGAGACCAGGAGTGTGTTAAGTCAAGCCAGTAATGCTTGTATTAATCTGATTTTCGCTATAAATAAAAAGATATTTAAACCTAAACTGATTTTTTATACTTTTTTTTAAGTATCATAAAGATGAGTAACTTTGTTGAACCATTTAGCAGTTCAGTAGTTGTTTTTTATGAAAATGCTATACACTATGTATATATACTTCAATATCTTTATAAGTACGGTAGTGTGTGTAGAAGTTTTAAAATACTCATTCCATTTTAGTGATATCAAACATACAAAACAATTTCTGCCGATCTAACAACGAATTTAACATTATATTATACTAGCTTTCCGCCCGCAGCTTCGCCGCGTGGAGTTCGGTTATATCGCGTTTCCAAGAGAACCTTTCAAAAGTCTGGGATAAAAACTATCCTATGTTCTTTCTCAAGGTCAACTCTATCTCTGTACCGAATTTCATTAAAATCAGTTCAGTGGTTTAGGCGTGAAAGCGTAGCAGACAGACAGACAGACAGACAGAGTTACTTTCGCATTTATAATATTAGTAGGGATAAGAAATAATAATATAACTAAGCAGTCAATGGCAGCCTAGTGGTTAAAAGGTCCGCCTCTCATGCACGAGGTTGCGGGTTCGATCCTGGCCCAGGCAAGTACCGATGTAATTTTACCGAGTCATATGTACTTTTTAAGAGTATTTAGACATCACTGAGTAATGCATTCCCAAAGAGGGTTGATGTCAGGCAGGCGGCCGGTCGTAAAAACAATTAGCCAAAACTATTCACAATGTGTAAGGCAGACCCTGGCTAAAGCTGGTATATTGCCAGGTAGAAGAAGTCATAACTAAAATATTACCATATTATTATTATGTGTATGGAAAATATAGTGAAAGGTGATAATTAAGTGATTGTCTGGACACAGAAATAACAATCACCAGTAAAATATACATTATATAAAATGACTATTAACAAAGGAAAAGTATTGTATCAGAGAAAGTAATACATACTTTTTGTTCTACTAAATTTTAAAGCATTATTTAATGACCCACTTAATTTTACATATTTAAATATTTTTCTTATAAATTTGCCAAATAACATCTTTTGCATATAAGAAAGTCTTGATATAGTTTTGTTTTTACTAAATTCGGATTGACTATAAAGTAATATGGAGTGATATGTGAATGGTAAAATTTTTTATGTAAGATCATACTAGAAATTTGAAAAGTTTAATAACTAATGATCTATTTGAAATATTAACGAAATCATAATCACTATATCGCTTTTAAAGTAATAAATATCGTATAATATAGTTAGAACGATACTCACTAGTCGTTTTTTGTTTTCAATTGAATTTCTAACTCTCGTGTTTAGCCTGTGAAGATTCAGGGACTGAGGCGGCTCCGGGACAGTTGTAACCTCTTTCTTAATCTGAACATCGCTTACGAGGGACAGGTTCACGATGTGTACATCGTGGCGTTTGGGATTGCCGCTTGATGATGGGCATTTCAGTATCAACATCTTGGTCTGTGGATCGAAAGCTAGGACTTCGCCCTCGATGTCCTCGTTGTAACAGGTCCTCGTGGCGACGATGCTGCCGATGGTGAAGCAGTCCGAGACTGTGGACATTGTTTTAATATGTTTTGTTTTCTAATATACAGGTTTTTCTATGTTGTTGTACCAAGTTCGCGATCCGCCATAGAATTCTGACTGACGTATCTACAGATCACATTTAAATGTCTAGTTGATACAGATTAGATAGAACGATAGATTTATAAATAAAATACTTATTAACTATTCGAAGTTTTTTATTTATTTATTTTATTAAAATATTTATTAAACATGCCTGAATAATTTAAAACAAAAATATTTCACAGGAAAAATGAGTTTAAAAGATATACTTATCCCTAGAAGAGATTTCTTCCAGTATACTCAAGAAAGAAGAAATGTAGACAGAAAACTTAAAAGGTAGACAGGCAAAATCGTACAAAAGGAGAAAAAATACAACAAAAAAAACATAAACTAATACTAGACAAAAAGGAAATTAAAAAACATTTTTTTTTTATATTGTAAATGATGAAAATATGTAATAAATCCATTAAATTTTGTTATTGAGATTAAATTATATATATATTTGACAAATATTATGCAATTTTCGTCCACATATTTTGTAAATCTTGAAAAATAAGACGTAGAGTCCATCTTATCAATGAAATGGAATTTCCACATTTTTATAGTTTAATATAATTAATTGGTAATTCTAAGAGATATGTGAAATAAAACCAATATACCATTTTTTTCATTTAGTTCCTATGTTCATATTAATAGTATCGTACATATAATTTCTTATAGTTTTGTTTGTTTTAATTAATAAATCTTTCAGCAAAGAGGTTTTATAATAATGAAACTAAATTATTTTATACTCAATATTATAATTATTCCTATAATAGATAAATATAATTTTGACATTCTTAAAATATACAGTAGGACCCCGATTATCCGGACCTCGGTTATCCGAATTCGCGATTATCCGGACTGCCAATCGCGACGAGTTTATTCTAACACTAGCTGTGCCCGCGACTTCATTCGCGTGGAATAGTGACTATGAGCAGCGTTTTTTTTTAAATATGATTCTTTAATTTGACATAACTTTTTTATTTATGAACCGATTGACATGAAACAAACACTAAAGCATAACTGAAGCATACCACAATATATTCGTGAAAACCGCATCCAACTCGGATCAGCCGTTTCTGAGATTAGCGTGAACAGACAAACTGACAAAAAAAAAGTTCATTACATTTTTGGGTTCGACATCGACATAACAATAACCCCTGCTATTTTTTTTTTTTTTCAATGTACAGACACCACTTTTCTACAATTTTTTTATATGTATAGATTAACATGTCAGAACTTGCATATCGCCACGCCACTTATAACACTTAGGTATACGTACATTATGTACAATTTCTTAATAAACGTTGATTTTCGCTCATATGTATTTGTTGTTTTAAATAAACACCTAACATTACATATGTATGGTACAGACTACATATGTACATATGCAAAAAGCCCGTTTTTCTTCATATGTTGGATTATCCGGACTTTCAATTATCCGGATTCCTACCGACAACAATTAGTCCGGATAATCGAGGTCCTACTGTACCACGTTCCCAGCGCGAAGCATAGAAGTGTTGAGTAATTTCCATTTTTTAATATATTTATATATGTAAATTGTTTTTTTGCACATTTTTTTATGTAAATAAATTTTATGTAAAATTTTATGAAGGATCGATAGATAGAATTTTGCTTCATAGGAGATAAGTTAAAGATTCTTTTGAATGTTAAAAAACAATCCATTCAATAGAAAAATTCTTTTATTACAGAAATCATGTCTTGTTATGTTTTGTTTTTTTCTATAGATACTTTATGTTCGATTATTATTGTATATTATATAGTTGTTCTTTTATATCTTAATAAGTTAAGAAACTTGTGAATCATATTTATATGAAGTAATAAATCAAACCATATTAAAATGCATCATTTATTGAAAGCACTAAATCTAGGTTACATTGAACTTATATACAGTTAAAATAAAATCGAAACACTTCATAGAATAACCGAAAAATAAATAACTATACTTCTTTGTTTTTATAAAATTAAGGAATAGAGAAATCGAATCCGGGACCACCTACAGCAAGCCAATGAAGAAACTGAACTATAGGTACCATAGGAATTGAAATTATAAGAAAAAAACACGAAGAATAGACCATTTAGAAACACAAAAACAGCTTTAATAGTGACTTTTAGAAATAAAAAAATCCTAAAAGCCGAAAACAGAAAATACTTTATAATTTATTGGAATATCCTAAATATAAAACAATATAATTAAGTGAATATTTAAACTTAAGACTAGGGGGAAAAAATAACATTTTTTTATATATATCTTTCAAGTGAGAAAATACAAAAGTTTTAATATAACTAGCAGTCTGATTTCAATCTAGGTGGCACTTCACTTGTGTCAAATAGGACCATGTGTGGATGATATATTCGTCTTTATTTGACATATTTGCACAAATAACACAAATAAGGGAAAACATATAGACTTGTTGTGATGCTAAGTGTGGATGTCATGTTTGACCTATTTGGAGTACATGTTAAGAAATTAATGAACACCGCCGGGGCGAAATCTACGTATGGATAAAATATGTAACTCTTGAGGCCGCTGACTCCGCGGAACGAACACCAAGCGTGTGAACCAGAAGACTCCTGATACACACAAGCTATGGAATGGTATTGATATACTAACATCGGGTCAATCATGTAGTCTTAGGTGTAGGTTATAAGTTTTAATATGTAGTACTTATTATAATATACATATATATATATATATATATACATATATATATATATATATATATACGCCAAGTAAAGTGCCATCTTTATATCACTACCTATGCGCCCAATACAATATTATATAACCGAAATGCTTGAAGAAATCGTATTACGAGCGCATCCTTAACAACCTATATTATTTATCTATTAAAAAATACAAAAAATATATATTTTTCAATAGATATGTAAAAAAAATAATTATTGGAGTGAAATAAACATGACGAGGGAAAATTACATGTATTTTTTTGTTAAAATATAATGTTTTTTTTATGTTTTTTCTTATTATGTTGAATTATTAACAGGGAACTACCAATCTTGGGGGTAGTATGCCGCGTTTGCTGAGCCACACTCTGGAAATAATATTAAACAGAATTAATATACATATATGTATTATAACTAGCTTTCCGCCCGCAGCTTCGCCCGCGTGGAGTTCGGTTATATCGTGTTTCCAAGGGAACCTTTTAAAAGTCTGGGATAAAAACTATCCTATGTTCTTTCTCAAGATCAACTCCATCTCTGTACCAAATTTCATTAAAATCAGTTCAGTGGTTTAGCCGTGAAAGCGTAACAGACAGACAGACAGAGTTACTTCCGCATTTATAATATTAGTAGGGATAAATTGTTATTGTAGGGATAAATAGCCAGGGTCTGCCTTACATGTTGTAAATAGTTTTGGCTAATTGTTTTTACGACCGGCCGCCTGCCTGACATCAACTCTCTTTGGGAAGCTATGGTAGATTGTATATACAGTATATTTCTAATAATACACTCCTGGGCAGACCCTGGCTAAAGCTGGGTAATTGCCAGGTAGAAGAAGAAGATTTCTAATAATACACTCCATGTCATAATAACTGTGAAAACAGTTTTTGCCTTACTGCAATAATTTATTTCAATATAAGCTGTATTTTTTCTCATAAATAAATAAATATATATACTAGTTTCTGCCAGCGACTTTTTCTGCTTTAGCCAGAATTAGTAATGTATAACTAACCGGGCGAACTCTGTTCCTCCTTAAAGAAAGTAGAAAAGAAGATTTTGTATTTGATCAACTTATTTTGTTTTTATTCAATCGGATGAAAAATATCTTATGTCCTTTCTATGTTCTAATCTATCTCTCCACCAATCTTCATCCATATCCGTACAGTCGTTAGAGTTATATATAGTGTAACTAACATGACTTTCTTATTTATATACATAGATTATATATCCTACTAATATTATAATTGCGAAAGTTTGTATATATGTTTGATACTTCTTCACGCTCGAACGGCTGAAGCGATTTTGATAAAATTTTGTATACATCAAGCTGTCGTCCAGGAATAGCACATAGGCTACTTTACTACCCGGAATTCAAGTAACACCGCGGGGCGCAGCTAGTATATATATACTCACCCAATCCCGGCTCCCACAAGTAGTGAGACAACATTAGTAATGAGTACAGCGGCCAAAGCTCCCCGACTGAATAGACAGGCTCGACGGACAGACAGACAGTGACTCTGAAACATATATATATGAGTTATATACCGTGACTATGTCTGCTTTGTGTTTAGTAGTAGAATATATATACAGCGCCATCTAGTGTGCGTGTTATAAAGTGTTAAATAACTGTCAGTCAGTGGTGGCCTAGTGGTTAAAAGGCCCGCCTCTAGCATGAGGGTGCGGGTTCGATCCTGACAAGTACCAATGTGATGTTCCAAGTCATATGTACTTTATAAGAGTATTTAGATACCACTAACTGATGAAGGGAAACATCGTGAGGAAACATGGACTTGTAATTTCACAATTATAAGTTTGAAATCACCAACCCGTCTTTAGCGAGCGTGGTGATTAATGCTCTAACCTTCTCCATGTGAGAAGAGGCTCAGCAGTGGGCTCTGATAGGATGATGATGACAGTTTCATGTAAATCTTATGTGTCTTCAGAATATATATGTATGTGACAGTGAGTTACCACCCTGGCTTGGGCAGACCCTGGCTAAGGCTGGGAGATTGCCAGGAAGAAGAAGAAGTAACAGTGAGTCACCTGTGTCATAGCTGGTGCCAGTTGCTCCAACACCTCGATGGAAGAGCTGGCTGAAGGTGGACCTCGTACCGGAGCGGGGTGTTTGAAGCGCCAGTCCCTATAGATAATAACATATATATAGAATTATTTATCATACAATAAGTATATAATATGAATTTACAAAAACAATCTTCATTTATATTGTAAAACTAGCTTTCCACCCGCAGCTTCGCCCGCGTGGAGTTCGGTTATATCGCGTTTCCAAGAGAACCTTTCAAAAGTCTGGTATAAAAACTATCCTATGTTCTTTCTCAAGGTCAACTCTATGTCTGTACCAAATTTCATTAAAATCAGTTCAGTGGTTTAGGCGTAAAAGCGTAACAGACACACAGACAGACAGAGTTACTTTCGCATTTATAATATTAGTAGGGATTATAATAATCTGACATATTCTAACTCACTTGGGTGGCATTTGATCCGGACGACTGCTCCACTCCCAGACCCAGTCGTTGGAATCATCCTGATATATCATAAATATTATGTTAATATCTATATATATTTAACTCATATTGTCTTGTATTATAAAAACTAAAAATGTATAATAAAATTTACAACTATTATAGCGACACTACAATAATTGTAATTAAATTTATCATCATTTCATCATCATCATCATATCATTATCATATCATCATCATATCATCATCATATCATAGACTCACCCTCCAACAGTTAATGTAGACTCCCTTCATCTCATCTTCGGTAGATGGTTCCAAGTTAGGACTGTTCGGAGGTGATTTTGGACTGGAATTATATTAGAATTTCTTATATAATATGAATTAATATTATAATGCTTTATATAAAGCTTCTTAAAAGTATATAATATATAATGGAGATTAAATTAATTAGTTATTGCTTGTTTTTTTTTATTATAATCTTTATATTTCCATAATAATATATTTCCATATATGTATGTATATTGTTTCATCAAACAGTTATTTTATGATGTAAACCACAAGAACAGATCATTTTACAACTTATATTGTATCGATGTCAATTTTTACTATACACTTGCTTCAACAATGGTTCATCCATTATTTTACTCGGAATAGTTATATTAATATTCATTATTTAAATAAAATACATTTCCAAAATAAAACTGCCACCAAAATCGTCCTTGATAGAAAAAAATATGTGTGTCTGTGTGTGTGTTTGTTTTAATGTTACAGGTGTCAAATGAGCAGACGGCCTACTTGATGGAAGGTAGTTACCCATAGACATTGCAACATAGATGTTGCCTAACTTTTTTTAGGGATAGGGAGGGGTGGGAATAAGGAAATATCAAGAAAGGGTGGGAATAGGGAAAGGGCAACCGTTTCTCTCACTCATCGGACGAAACGCAGCCATTAAAGACTACTTCACGCCGATCTTCTGTGTGTGTGTGTGTGTGTGTGTGTGTGTGTGTGTGTGTGTGTGTGTGTGTGTGTGTGTGTGTGTGTGTGTGTGTGCGTGTTACCAACCTGCCCTTAACACTGGACGCCCTGGAGTGCCTCACGGACGAGTCCCGACTCTCTCTCTGCGCCTCTCTCAACAGCTTGATGTACTCATTCTCTCCTGATAGAACGCCCGAGTTTAATTCCACCCACGATTCTGGAAAATGGAATATGGAATTAATAATATACCATCTGGAATCCAGAAACTGTCACTAAAGGCCACTAGGCCACCACTGACTTATAATAATTATATATAATAACTAGAAGACCCGGCGAACTTCGTATCGCCCTATAGTCAAGAAATATCTGTTACGTTTTTTTATTTATATTTTTGGAGTTTACCTGTAAGCCATAAACCTCCGTGTTTTGAAGTGCGACAGAATGATTGACATATTAGTTACATAGTTGTCAAATCTTATGTCAAAAAAAGATCGTTTGTATCAACAATTACTAATAAATTAAAAATAAGGTAAAAAAAACATTGCCCAGCTTACAAAATTGTGAATCTAAACCATTCCCAGATCCCCTTGAACACACACAAAAAAATTTAATAAAAATCGTTCCAGTCGTTTGAGAGAAGTTCAGTGACATACAATACATACACTCACAGAAGAATTATATATATAAAGATAACATGTAAATGTATCAATATATGTCAGTATGGGTATATTTGAGTGTACCCACATATTAAGACCAAACAGACAATTAGCCCAGTTTTTATTTAGTTCAATTTAAACGTGTCAAAGCCGGCAACTAATATATGTACATACATCTCATTCTCAATATACATCTTGTTCTTCTACCTGGCAATTTCCCATCTTTAGCCAGGGTCTGCCTTACATGTTGTGAATAGTTTTGGCTAATTGTTTTTACGAGCCGCCTGCCTGACATAAACCCTCTTTGGGAATACATTAATCAGTGATGTCTAAATACTCTTAGAAAGTACATGACTTGGAAAAATCACATTGATTGCCAGGATCGAACCCGCGCCCTCATGTATGAGAGGCGAGCCCTTTAACGACTAGGCCACCAATGACTTAATACTCATTCTCAATATACATATGTGATACATTTGCTTGGGAGACGGATTTCTTAAGCTTTTTTATGTCAAAGAGGTAATCGAGCAGACGGCCTACCTGATGCAGGTAGTACCGTCGCCCATGGACATCCACAAAAGAAATTTATTATTTATTATTTGAGGAAGAACTTTATATAAGCTTTTTATATGTGACGTAAAATTCAATTTATAAATGGTTATGTAATAAAATATTCTACTTTGAATTAGTATTGGACATTCACTTGCAAAGAGGGCTGATGTCAGGCAGGAGGCCGGTCGTAAAAACAATTAGCCAAAACTATTCACAACATGTATGCCAGACCCTGGCTAAAGCTGTAAAATTGCCAGGTAGAAGGATAAGAAAATTCACTTGCAGTTGTATGAACTAATTTGGTTTACTAATAAATAAGTAATTTAATTTATATAAATAAATTATACGGGTAGACGAAGTCACATGTAGAGCTAGTATATATAATATAAATACATTTTATAGTAATTTCATAATATTTTTTATCATACCCTCGTCTTAACAAGTCGGTTAAATCTACGTCGTTGTATGAAATCCATTGTTTTAACTCAATTATAAGTTAATTGACTGATAACAATGTAAGGGACTGATGCTTTTCAATATCTTATTATTAAAAATAAATTTAAATGGCTGTATATGTTGTATACAATATATAAAAAAATATATGAAATTAGGAGCTTCTTTATTAGTCGTATGATGGTAAGATAATTAGTCAGTAGTGTCCTAGTGGTTATAAGGCCCGCCTCAAATGCACGAGAGCGCGGGTTCGATCCTGGCAAGTAACAATGTGATTTTGCCGAGTCATATGTACTTTCTAAGAGTATTTAGACATCACTGATTAATGCATTCCCAAAGAGGGTTGATGTCAGGCAGGCGGCCGGTCGTAAAAACAATTAGCCAAAACTATCCACAACATGTAAGGCAGACCCTGGCTATAGCTGGGAAAGCGCCAGGTAGAAGAAGATGATGAAGGTAATATAATGAAATACATTATATCAAATTTTTATCTGTATTTTTGTTACGTCTGATCTATGTAACGTACTTTCACTGGCAGATAATTACACATACAAAGCAACCTTGTTTGTTTTTAAATCAGTAATTTTATTTATTTCTATTTATATAAAAAATATTATTATGATAAACAAAGTCACATGTAGAACTAGTTAAATATAATAAACGCTAATTATATTTAAATAGTAAATCAATTATTAAAGAATTATGATAAGTAATTAAAAGCTGAAAAATATATTTATATACTTTAGTTACAACATTAAAATGAAAAAAATACATTAAAAACGATAAATTTGTTTCAGAGCTACAATGAACTAGACAAACACACAAACAACGATAACAAACTCATAACACATCTTCTTTTAAGTCGGTATTAAAAAAAAACTCATTAAATCAAGGTACAGGCCGTTGAAGTAGACAAGATATTTTTTTCTAATAGAAAAAAAATACTAAACAGTTTTGGATAAAACTTTTAGATATCTGAATAATATTATGAATAACAAGGACCGTCTGATGGAACAAACAAAACGTTACGGAGATACGAGGTGACGTACAGACAAACAAGAACACAAAGAACTAAAAATAACAGCAGCGTAAACAAAGGCGAGAACAAATCATTGGACTTTAGGAGATAAGATATACACACACACATACACAAACGTATCAAACACTCACTATAATAATAATAATATATATAAAACTTGAACTTGCATCTAGAAACGGAATAGAAAATAAACACAAAACCAGTTTCTTACAAACAACATTGAAACACAATTTACCGAGCTCTTTAACAGCGGACGAAGTCATAGGCTCTAACATGTTTGTAACACGAACACAATAATATATTAATAATACAATAATATATTAATAGTCTCAATAGATACTGGGCGACACGTCCGCACACGACGGACGCCGGGCCGCGACTGACCGACTACGCTTACTGCTAGTAAACAAAGCGCTGCGCACGCGCACCCCGATGACGCATATCATACATTATAAATGAGAAACCTGTTTGTTTATATCATACGGAATGTACTATGAGGGTTTGAATTAATATACAAATAAGGTGCAGTATATAATGTATCGTTCAGTTCAGTCAGTGGTGGCTCAGTGGTTAAAGGGCCCGCCTCTCGTCGCCGATGGCGCGGGTTCGAGCCTGGCCCGGGCAAGAACCAATGTGATTTTTCCGAATCATATGTACTTTTTAAGAGTATTTAGGCATCACTGATTAATGTTGATTCCCAAAAGAGGGTTGATGTCAGGCAGGCGGCCGGTCGTAAAAACAATTAGCCAAAAACTTTTCACAACATGTAAGGCAGACCCTGGCTATAGCTGGGAAATTGCCAGGTAGAAGAAGAAGATATAATGTATCGTTCAGTCCGTGTAGTTCCCGGGAACACTTCATAACAGATGTATTGTATGAAGTAACGACACGCTAGATGGCGCTGACTGTTGGTTCATATATATTATACATAATACTTTAATATATTGATGAATTTCATCCATACAATAATTTATTAACATTATTTTTCTAACATTTTAATTAAATCTTTCATATTAATTCATAGTTCTATCTAATATTATATATAATAAATAAATCTTGTATTGCGTGATATTTTTCACGTAATTTAAATTTTTTATTTATTACGCAACAAAAATATCTACTTTTAAACCTGACTTATATGGTTAAATAGATCGTAAAAGGAGAATAGTTAGATGTGATCTTTTATTTATATTTGATTAAAAATATTTCATAATCTCAATAGATAAATGATTATTTTTATGTATTTAGAATAATAATTAGTATAATATGTGTATATACTAGCTGACTTATCAAACTTTGTTTTGCCATATAAAATAAGGGATTGGTGATAAAAAAGATAAAAATTAAAAAAAAAACAAATAATTTTGGGGTGAACAACCCTTATCACTTAGGGGTATGATAAATAGATAGTAGCCGATTCTCAGACCTACTGAATACGTAAATAAAATTTGGTAAAAATCAGTAAAGCAATTTCAGAGGAGTACGGTAACTAATATTGTGACATAGATATTTTATATATATATACATACTAGCTTTCCGCCCGCAGCTTCGCCCGCGTGGTGTTCGGTTATATCGCGTTTTTAAGAGAACCTTTCAAAAGTCTGTTATAAAAACTATCCTAATTTCTTTCTCAAGGTCAACTCTATGTTTGTACCAAATTTTATTAAAATCAGTTCAGTGGTTTAGGCGTGAAAGCGTAACAGACAGACTGACAGAGTTACTTTCGCATTTATAATATTAGTAAGGATAAGACAATAAGCATATAAAGTGTATCCTCATGAATTTAATGTTGGGAGAGTTCCAAAAATAATTGGAGGTCATTTAACTTCCTCAATAAGAACAAGGAATGAACTCACGTTGACTTGCAGAAATGTTTTCAGATACAGGACGAAGATTTAATTTTATTTGTTTCAGATTTTTGTATAAAAAATAGATTTTTTGTATTATTATAAAATACTTAAAAAGTATTTTTTTTTTACTTGAATTTCTCGACAGTTAAGTGAGTGATGATATTTTTTTTATCTCTAAACTATTTAAATACTTTTTTAACCAGCGTTGTTTCATTAATACCTAGCAGGTGAAAGCATTAAAAAATAAAAAGTATATTTCTCTTAAAACTAATCAACGTTATCGAGGAATTTCATCAAAACGGGTTCATCAAATTCGTTTTAATACTATAATTCGTGAGAATAGTTGGATTGACATCATCATCTCAAAGCATACTAGACTCAAGGTACAGTATATAAGAATTAATGTACATCTTCTGTATTCTTCTTCAACCTGGCAATTTCCCAGCTTAAGCCAGGGTCTGCCTTACATGTAAATAGTTATGGCTAATTGTTTTTACGACCGGCCGCCTGCCTGACATCAACCCTCTTTGGGAATGCATTAATCAGTGATGTCTAAATACTCTTATAAAGAACATATGACTCGGAACATCACATTGGTACTTGCCAGGATCGAACCCGCGCCCTCGTGCACGAGAGGCGGGCCTTTTAACCACTAGGCCATCACTGACTTACATGTTCTGTATTGTACATGTACATACGTGTGTACGTGTACAATCCCGTGTACAACATTTCCGTGCATGTCCGTGATCACGTACCGACAATGACTCATAGGCGTTTGTTTTCTCATTAATGGAAATGAAGCCATTATTACAATTACCTTCTTTAATGGATAAAAAATTTGCAGTATTATTATTTTGGGGGGCATTCATAAATTACGTAAGGTATTTTTTCGAAATTTCTGACCCTTCCTTCCCAATTGGTGAGGTTTTATTCAACCCCCTTCCCCCACACCCAAATATCACGTGAGTTTTTTGAAAAGTATAAATAAAAAAATTTTTACAACGAACTAGGGAATGGTTTAATTCTTAAGCATACAATCTGGATTGAATTGACCAAAATAGTATAATTATTTTTTGTTTCATTCGGAAATAAATTACGTAATTTTTGTCGAGACCCCCCCTTCCTTTAACGTAAGCTTAGATGAGATTTGACTAGACAACGTCCCCCCCTTAAACACCTTACGTATTTTATGATTGATTAGCTGTTGTGTTTGTGTGTGTGTGTGTGTGTGTGTGTGTGTGTGTGTGTGTGTGCGTGTGTGTGTGTAATATAACATTCAATTAGTAAATTAATTATTTATCTTTTCCTCATCATCTTTACAGTCTAGAGTATCGCTTCTATTCGGAAAATAATTAAGATATAGAGCATAAGACGTATAGTCTAAGAGCTATGATATAAAATTATGTACATATTAATGATCACGGTTGTAAAGTAACCGATACTTCGAGAGTATGTAGGTTAAAATAATAGAAAGGTTAGGTATACTAAAATATTAGTTTTATTTAAACGTTAGTTCTAGATTCAGCGTCAAAATATCGCTTACCACAAGTCTCTATCGCCACACTACATACGAAAACTTTGCCGTTTCTCATTTAATAAACTATACTTATTATAGTTTTTTAATCGCGACTCTCTAGTTTACTCTAGAGGAATTAATAACCAGATATTGGAATTTATTATGTTTTTTTCTGTTTCGATTGAAAAGTATTAAATATCCTACATCCTTTCTATGTTCTAATCTATCTCTCCACCAATGTTCATCCATATCCGTACAGTCGTTAGAGTTATATATAGTGTAACTAACATGACTTTCTTTTATATAATACATAAGATATTAACTTAAATTAACGATTGGCACGTAGTGTAACGTTGCAAACCTAACTTGTACCTTAAGACTGGGTGATGCTCACTAATGTAATCATCTAATATTTGGTGTCAATCGTATTCAATACGTTGAAATTTCACGTATTATCGTAATGTCGGTCTACCTGAGAGGTCCACCTGTGCAGGTAGACCGGAATGTGTGTGAGAATAGACCTGTGCAGTTTTTTGAACGCTACCATTGTTAGGTTAACCTGCACAGGTATACCTGCACAGATTGACCTCTAACTCTTTGGTAGACCGTAGCGGACAAAGCCATTTGCATAAATGAATCTGCAGGTGTGGAAAACATGAAGTATATATATATAAACATATATATGACTCATATATAAAAGAATTTAATATGTACCCTTAGTATGCGCGAGTCGATGAAATAGACAGTTTTAACTCGAGACTGTAAGTATTAACGATGCATACGAATGGTAAGTGGAATCACAGAACTAAATTGATATATTTTTTTCATTATTATATAAGTTTATATGAAAAAAATAATTGATTTTGTAGTTTTCGCGAGACGAACAAACGCTTTTCAATATATTGTACTAACTTATCTATTTTGGTATATTTATTCTAGTAACTTAATCTTATTTTAAGCAAGTTAATATAAACACAATAGATATATCTTTATGCTCGGTTTTACCAGATAGGGTATTACTGGTGGTTAATTTTATATGATAATACTAGCTTTCCGCCCGCAGCTTCGCCCGCGTGGAGTTCGGTTATATCGCGTTTCCAAGAGAACCTTTCAAAAGTCTGAGATAAATACCTATGTTCTTTCTCAAGGTCAACTCCATCTCTGTACCAAATTTCATTAAAATCAGTTCAGTGATTTAGGCGTGAAAGCGTAACAGACAGACAGAGTTACTTTCGCATTTATAATATTAGTAGGGATGATACAAATTAAATATTTACTAAGACATAAAATGAATGATTATTGATATATTTATAACTGTAGGTCGGGTCGAGTGTGAGGTCGTGTTTGACAAGTTTTATACATACACTAGTTTTATCACGCGACTGCGTTCGCGTGAATATCGGAATTCTTCTCAGAGAGGAAGGTATAGTGTGTTTAAACAATTGACAGACCCTGGCTAAAGCTGCTAAATTGCCAGATAGAACAAGAAGATAAATATATATAAAGGTACATTGAAGAGTAATATTAACTCTTGGTATTTGAACCTGAAGTCTGAACCGTTTGGGGCGTTATACCAATGTATGCAAAATTTTCATTAAAATCGGTCCAGCCGTTTAGGACATACACAGGTATAGAAGTATATATATATATACATAGTAATGAAAAAGAGACCGATCGCATTACGTACAAGGTGGAGGTAAAAAAACCAAAACTGTAATAAATACATTTACAATAATATTATGTTACTGAAGGCTACTCAGCCTACCGTGACGGTACAGATTATACTACTACCGTTTATATATAGTCCAACGAAACAAGATAATTTTTGTAAACATTGACTTTTCATTTGACCTTCAACTTGATAGGTGAAGCTAATTTTAGTTATGATAAGATTTCTTTAAGAAAATTGAATTGTTTGAACGGATTTTGTTTTTCTCAAGAACCTGTTTATTTTTTTTAGTCTATCAGAGCCCACTGCTGAGCAAGGCCTCTTCCTCACATGGAAAAGGTTTGAGCATTAATCACCATACACGCTAAAGACGGGTTGGTGATTTCAAACTTATAATTGTGAAATTATAAGTTCATGTTTCCTCACGATGTTTTCCTTCACCGTCTGTCAGTGATGTCTAAATACTATTAGAAAATACATATTAATATGAAAAATTATTGGTGCTTGCCAGGATCAAACAGGTACCCTCATGAAGGCATATTTATTAAGTAATATTATTTAGCAAAATATCGAATCTAGTGTTAAACAAAATTATATTTTCCGTTCCAAAATTTTTTAAAAAAATTGACGTTCTAAACATCACTGATTAATGCATTAACAAAAGATTGTTGATGTCAGGCAGGCGGCCGGTCGTAAAAACAATTAGCCAAAACTATTCACAACATTTAAGACAGACCCTGGCTGAAGCTGGGAAATTGACAGTTAGAAGAAGGAGTAAAGATATTAATTGGATTAAAATACGGTTATTTACATTAATAATTTGTACGAAACCATAGGATCGTAGCACGAACTGAGGAACCTGCCCTTGTATATGTATATACATATATCCCTACTAATATTATAAATGCGAAAGTAACTCTGTCTGTCTGTCTGTTACGCTTTCACGCCTAAACCACTGAACTGATTTTAATGAAATTTGGTACAGACATAGAGTTGACCTTGATAAAGAACATAGGATAGTTTTTATCTCAGACTTTTGAAAGGTTCTCTTGGAATCGCGATACAACCGAACTCCACGCGGGCGAAGCTGCGGGCGGAAAGACAGTATATATATATATATATATATATATTTTTTTTTTTTTTTTTTTTTTTTTTTTTATTTAAACCAAAGGGGCAAGCGAGCAGACGGCCTGCCTGATGGTAAGCAGTCACCGTCGCCCATGGACATCTGCAACACAAGGGGTGTTGTAGATGCGTTGCCGGCCTTGTTTGTGAAGGAGCCACCTGAACACGTGATGTTTGAAAGACCCCATGTTGTAGCTCTCTGGAAAAGCCTCGGGCGGAAGATCATTCCACATCCTGCACGTGCGTGAAAAGAATGAACGCGACGCACGTACAGTCCTGCAACTGAATGCATCTAAATGATGTGGGTGAAATCCAACCCTACGCCGAGTAGTGCGATGGTGGAATGTGGACGATGGCACTACATCAAACAGTTCCTCGGAACATTCCCCATTGTACAGACGATAGAACACACTAAGGGAGCTTACATCCCTTCTGAGACTTAGGGGTTCTAGATCGTCTGTGAGCATGGGATCGTTGACAATACGAACTGCCCGACGTTGAATGGAGTCAAATGGAAGAAGTTGGTACTGTGGGGCACCGGACCAGAGGTGAGAACAATACTCCATGTGGGGACGAACCTGTGCTTTATATAACAAAAGCAAGTGTCCCGGTGTGAAGTACTGCCTCGCTCTACTCAGTACCCCTAATTTTTTGGATGCTAGTTTAGCCTTATCCTCCAAATGTCTCCGGAATTGAACGTCGTTCGCTATGTCAACCCCAAGGATCCCAATGCTCTGTTTGATCTCAAGGGGAACGTCCTGGAACTTTGGAGCTACAGTGAATGGGGTCTTTTTAGTGGTAAACGCGCAGACTTGTGTCTTCTTGGGATTAAACTGAACAAGGTTCAGCTTACCCCATTCGGAGACCTGCTCCAGGGAGGTCTCAATTTCAGACACAAGTCTCTTTCTGCTCTCTTCTACTTGGTCACGAGGAATATTAGCTCGGCCCATGTAATAAGCGTCACCAGTACTGTCATCTGCATAGCACCGAATGTTGCTGGTATGCAGCATGTCGTTGATATGCAGAATGAACAGCGTTGGTGACAGCACTGAGCCTTGGGGCACACCAGCGTTGATGGGCTTGGGTTCCGAGCAAGAACCGTCAACAACAACCTGTATGCTCCGCCCATGAAGGAAGCTGGCTACCCAGTTGCATAATTCCTCGGGTAGTCCGTACGATGGTAGCTTCGATAGAAGTGCGCGATGCCAGACCCGATCAAAAGCCTTTGCGATGTCTAGGCTGACCGCCATGGCCTCCCCTTTGCTCTCAATGGCTTCAGCCCATCGATACGTGAGGTATACTAGAAGATCACCAGCGCTTCGTCCGTGGCGAAAGCCATATTGACGGTCGCTAATAAGCTGGTTATCCTCTAGATAACCTAAAAGTTGCGTATTGATGATCCGCTCCATCACCTTTGAGAGTAGGGAAGTGATCGCAATAGGCCTGTAATTGGATGGGTCTGTGCTGTCACCCTTCTTGGGGATAGGGTGGACAT